ATGGATTCTCCTGCAAAACAGGAAGAGTTCAAAAGCTTGATCAGCCGTCAATATAAAGCATTCAGCACAACTTCAGTTACATTACCATCCAGACATCCAGCAATCTTTCATGTAGTGAATCCTCAAAAATAAAACGATCCCGGAGTTTGATTTGCAAACATGGGTTACCAGGGAATTTAGAACCTAGCCTATCAATCCACATAAATCTCTGCTGAAGCTAGAAGCAAAGACACCATGACAGGGAAACACGCAGGAGCACATCTAACAAAATAGTGCTCTGCATTCAATCAGTGCAGCATGTGAGCCATTAACCTAGGAATTGACCTACAAACTTATTAACATATCTGCGTTGCCTTGTGGCTAGCAGCCACCATATTGCCACGTGAGCACCACAACCAAAAGCATTACAACCACTGACAATAACATCCTTTGCTTACTATGTCACACAACCAGAATATGCTTTTAAATACCTTTAACAGATCCCTGAAGAATGGACTACATGCAGACAGCATCATCCTGTGAGCTTTAATCTTCCTGCCCTCGCAGCAGAGCGTCATATCCACCAACTCCTCATCCTGACGCAGGCCCTCAAAGGCTGCCGTCACATTGCTTCTGAAGTCATTCCACTTCAAGCAGAACTTCTGTGCGTCCATGGAGATGGTGAGCTCCCTGTAAATGAAACCAAAATGGGTATACTTCAACATGGACTGGGTATCCTACAGCTGTGCCTGCCAAATCATATGGAAGGGGATAGAAAAAATGATGTTCAAAAATATGGACCACACTGCAATGACTCCAGAGAAGTCGCCAAGAATAAAACAATGTCCCAGAAATTGTGCTCAATATTGATGGTCACCTGGTATCATTGCTGCATTTGCAGCATATGGTATTTTTAATGACCACAGATGCCTGTCTTTTCAAGTCGGGTACATGGGCAGAAGACAACTACACCATTGAACTTATACACATATGCAGGGGTTTAAGCAATATCTCGTGAGGCGATACTAATATACTGAGGTGGTCCACGAACCCCATGAAATGAGTTTTTGGTCCTATATTATTGACTGATGGGGCCTGATGTGCAAGCACCAAATGAAGCACGCCACCTAAAATGCCACCGACCTCACTTCAGTATGTCAAATATTTTGGGGAGTATTTGTTACCCATAGCGTCACACACTGTATTTCCCTTGTTCCTCTTAATATCCTACGTCAGCAGAAAACTGGTCATTGTGCTTCAAATGGCGTGTCTCTTTTTATGGTTGGATACCAGAAATGGATCGAAAATTGAGTTCCCGAGAAAATGTCGAATTGAGAAAAGTTTAATAAAAAAGTCGACAAAAACACAAAAAGACGAAGAGATAAAAGTCGAGTAGGAGGAAAGTAAAAATGCAATAAGTTGACAGTGATGAGAGAAGAAACGGAATAATTGGCAGGGGTAAAGGTCAACCGGATATGTAAAAACACCATAAGTCAAACTTATTGAAGTGCGAAAAGCCACCAGGACTCGGTGCCTAGTGTGAGAAGTGGATAAAAATGTGGGCACGGGAGAGACAAATGGGAATGAATAGGACTGGATGGGATCGCAAAGGGGAGGGGGGGGGGGGGGACCAGTTAACTCCGGAAGGTAACGGGTGAGAACAGCGAAAGGAGATCGGATCGGATGTAACCAGGCGGGAACAGTTGGGACCAGATATTATGGGCACGGACCAAACGGAGCGACCACGCGTGATGTACGCGATCAGATAGCATCAGACGTCACCGGACGTGCTCAAAATAAATCGGACGGGGCAGGACGGGACCTGGCAGCACTGAACCGAATCGGACGGAGCGGGATTACATTAGATGGGACTGGACGGAGCATGATGCTATCGGACGGGGCAGGACAGGACCTTACAACACTGAACTGAACCGGACGGAGCGGGATTACATCAGATGGGACTGGACGGAGCATGATGCTATCGGACGGGGCAGGACGGGACCTGACAACACTGAACCGAACAGGACGGAGCGGGATTACATCAGATGGGACTGCACGGAGCATGATGCTATCGGACGGGGCAGGACGGGACCTGACAACACTGAACCGAACAGGACGGAGCGGGATTACATCAGATGGGACTGCACGGAGCATGATGCTATCGGACGGGGCAGGGCGGTACCTGACAACACTGAACCGAACCGGACGGAGCAGGATTATATACGATGGGACTGGACGGAGCACGATGCTATCGGACGGGGCAGGACGGGACCTGACAACACTGAACCGAACAGGACGGAGCGGGATTATATCAGATGGGACTGCACGGAGCATGATGCTATCAGAAGGGGCAGGACGAGACCTGACAACACTGAACCGAATCGGACGGAGCGGGATTACATCAGATGGGACTGGACGGAGCATGATGCTATCGGACAGGGCAGGACGGGACCTGACAACACTGAACCGAACCGGACGGAGCGGGATTACATCAGATGGGACTGGACGGAGCATGATGCTATCGGACGGGGCAGAATGGGACCTGACAGATTTGAGGTGGCCTTCAGGGAAAGCTGCTACCTAAGCGCGCAAACACGACGCCAAAATAAAAGTCTTGATTGTTGCGCAACATCACCAGGCTCTCGTCGGCTGCACGGCAGCGCGCGGCTCCGGTACCCCATCGCTTTACGTTGGGGAGGGGATGACGGTGTCTGTTGATGTGACGGTGATGCCGGCGTGGGGAGAGGATGGCGTTGCATGATGGTGTCTTCTGGAGATGTGACGGTGATGCCGGCGTGGGGAGAGGATGGCGCTGCATGATGGTGTCTTCTGGAGATGTGACGGTGATGCCGGCGTGGGGAGAGGATGGCGTTGCATGATGGTGTCTTCTGGAGATGTGACGGTGATGACGGCGTGGGGAGAGGATGGCGTTGCACGATGGTGTCTTCTGGAGATGTGACGGTGATGACGGCGTGGGGAGAGGATGGCGTTGCACGATGGTGTCTTCTGGTGATGTGACGGTGATGACGGTGTGGGGAGAGGATGGCGTTGCATGACAGTGTCTTTTGCGCGACGGCGTCGGCAGTGACCTGCGTACGCATTATGAAACCCTAAAAACACCATCACTGTGTGGACCCGTTAGAGACACAAACCCATGGCATTTATATAAGCGAGAAAGGCCTTTATAAGCCTCTGATTATGCGGCCAGGGGCGTAGTTCCGAAAAAAATAAGCTGGGGGAGGTGGCGGAGGGGGGGGGGGCGGAACATGAGAAAATAATGCGGCCTGCGTTTAAAACACCAATAAATGGACTTTTCCTGGATTTGACACACTTCTTTCCCGAAGTTAGGAAGGGGGCTCCCCGCCCCCCCCCCCCCAACTGAATCAGAAACCGCATCTAAATGTTCGGTATTATCAGTCCAGAGCCCCTCTGCTGGGCAGTCGACCTCCCGTATGCCGGTAGGTGCCGCCACATGACGTTACAGAAGAAACAATCCTCATACTGCCAGCATTCGTGTTCCAAGCTATGTTTGTGATAACAAGTCTGCCACCATAAGCACACAGTAGTGCCTCTGAATGTATCTGAATGCAGCCGACCAAATTTAAAAACACGTGCATCTGTGCTACGTTTAACGACAAAACTAGCGAACAGGTGACAGGTGTGGCGTAGGAAAACAATGCGTGCGACAGCTTGCGCACATATAACATTTTTTCCTCAAAATCAGCCCACAGCCCCCTCCTGTCCCGCCACACCTCAATTCAACACACTAGACCATCATGCCTCCACCCCGATCCAGCAAAAGAGCAAGATTGCCAAAAAGCCCAGTAAAAATAAAACTCCCAGTCAGACTGGGCCAATGTGTGTGCTGCTGGACTGAAACGTTGCAGTTTTAGTGTGTTTTGGCTCCAAGGAGAAGCTGCTGTATGATAGGGCTCACTTCGGATGGCCACGAAGAGCACGTGGAGCAAACTGGAAGGGAAGGTTGGTCTATGCTATTTCAATAGAAAAGGGCGGCACAATTAACCACACGCCAAAAGCATCTGGCTCGGAAGGTCGCTCAACAGACCAATCAGCTGTGTTTCAACGCACTGGATGCCATTTAAGCTCATCACCACTCAATGCGTGTGGGCGTCTTTTCCGAACTGCCACTTTTTAAGTCCGTAAGCCCCTGGCCCAATGCATGCGTCGAAAACCTACCGACAAATTCGCGACCTTTTTCGCAGCTTTCGCAGATAATTTGTTAATTCAATACATTCTGGTCATTTCCCCAAACACCATGGATCCAACGCCCACGTCCTGTTCCACGCCTGGCCCAGATACAGCCTGAAAAAGTAGAAATGGGATGTAATGTCGCTCAACCGAGAATGGCTGACAGATCCAAAGAAACCGTTGGTGGTGGATCCTGAGGATAACTCCAAGTGCTGTTGCGCCTTTTGTCGTTTCACCTTCAGAAACCCGAACGAAAGCGCTATGACCAGGTCTGCCGAAGCAGCAAACCACAAAAAGGTTGTGAAGGCCTTAACAAGGGCAAAGTTGACCCAGTGCTTCGCCCCGCCCGAGAAGAGCAGCAACAATCACATCGAACTCGTCGCAGGATGCGTAATGATGGCGACTGTTTTTGTTTTTTCTGCTAAGCATATCCCTCTTCCGTTGCCGACCACTTCTGGGACATTTTGCGCCACGCGGCGCCCGAATCGGACACAAATCAGCTGCCGCCAAGCGCTGTAAGCTGTCGTACCTGATGATCGACGGATCGGCCACTGAAGAAACAGAGCGAGTCACCGCGCTGCTGAAGGGCCACAAGTGCGGCGTCGTGATCGACGAATCGACAGACACATCGGTGGCACAAGTCATGGCGCTTGAAGCGCGGATATATGATCCCAAAGACAGGCAAACACGCGATCTGCCGCTGGAAGTGGTGGAGCCACGCGGCGGGACCGCCCAGGGTCTCTTTGAAACGACGATGGGGGCCCTGCAGGCAGTCGGTGTCGACCGATGCGGCAGCATCGATCTGGGTGCCAACAAGCGTTCAGCCGTGATGGGAGCCAGTGGCGGCGTCCGCGCGCTGCTGGAAGAGGTGGTATCAGGTCCGTTCGTCATGGGCTGCGTGTGTCACTCCCTGGCGCTGTGCACCGGCCACTCCGCCCGCTGCCTCCCCACCTGACAAGAGATGATCGTAAAACACATCGCGAGGTACCTGTAGTGTAGCCCCAAGCGGCGACAAGCCCTGGCCCTGGTCCAAGAGGCCGTAAACGCGCCCTGCCATCAAAAGTCCTGCGGTCCTGGACTCCGTGCCGCTGCACAAGGCAACTCAGAAGATGCTTCCAGCTGCAAGCCCATCGAGGACATCGACTTGGGAGGTCGGTGCGAGAGCCTACTGCTGGAGGAGCTGCTGCGAGAAGGCAAGAGGAAGATGCCTCGAGATGCCCTGAGCTTCCTCCAGCAATGCTGTGGCCAGATCAAACACTGCTTTGACATAAGCCTGAACGGCGTTCTTGCCAGACTGTGCGGGCTGGGCCTTGCAGTGACCATGTTGCCAGGGCGCGGCAAGGTCCGGCCGCACACACTGGCGCCCCTCATAGTGCACTTTAGGCATTTGGATGCTAAGAAACCAAGGCGACCTGAATGACAAGTGGCGCGAGCACTGGTAGCTCTGGCAGCAGCCAAGATCCAGGAGAAGCTTAAGGGGACCCACCAGTGTTCTGTGCAGAGATCGCAGAGAACACCAATCCCACTGGAGACTTTTGGTTCTGTGCACTCATCAGCTTCATGCAAAACCTGATGTTACTGTCCCACTCAGTGGTTGCTTTCCCGAGGATCTCCAACCAGGTCAGTGAACAATGAAAATCCAAATAGAAAAAGAACAACATAATTGCAACACCATTTGCACATTTTACTGATTTACATTGCATGGGATATGTATGGCAAATGTAGTGATTATGCATGTCCATAATCCTACTTCGTCAATCTTCATGTCAATGAGGCCCATTGAATGTTTAGACAGCTTTTAAGATCAACTAAACTATTATGCATGCAACAAGGGACTTTTCTCACTCCTGTCATTTCCTGAATGCAGGTCAACTGGGTCAAAATGGCCCAAACCAACTGGCTGAAGGTGGCAACAATAGGGAGCATTCTGGAGAGACAGTTGGTGAGGAGAAAGGGTGATGCAGGGTGCTCAAAATTTAACAATCACAGGCAATGATAGACAATCCCATCACTGGATGCCCCCTACTGAAGGAACTGTGGGTCTCTAGGGGAAGCTGGAGTCTCACCAGAGGCAGCAAGCACTGACCAAGAGTAGGAAGAGATGAGAACACAGATGAGGAAAGCATGTTGCATGAATTGTTGCACACTACAAAGACATTGATGTAGTGAGGGATTGATGTCTTTCTCAAATTTGGTCACTGGAAGACCTGCCATTGGACCTGTCATATCAGAAGCTGGTGAGAGGTGTTTGTATGTGATGAATTGCCATCATCACACTGTGATCAGCGTTAGTGAGTCATCTTGGTGTGCTCAGCATGATTGAAAGTCACATCAGGAAGGAGGGACATGATAACTCTGCTGATCTGTCAAAAGCATCATTATATTTTATTACTATATATTTTATCATTATATAATTATTTTTTGTTGCCTAAACATTTGAGGTGCTGTGAACTGGGATGACAGCACAAAGCAATGCAGTCATTAAGTTTTAAACAGAGTCATCTTAGTCACATGCTGATGCTACTATACTCTGCAGCTTGATACATATCTGAATCCAGTTTCCCTGGTAATATATCTACTTTTTCAATGTTGGCATATACTACTACTTCTGTTCCACCCCATCCCCTTCTTCCCCATGAGCAGCAAAATATACCTCAGAAGTCTAAAACAATATGTAACATCAAATGCTGTGAATAAAAATGTGATTTGGTGCAGGTGATCATGAGATATGAGAATCAAGGTAGCATCAATCTCAGGATTTTAAAAATATCCTGCCTCCAATATAGCAGCCCACTTCAGTCGCCCGTGACTTTTAATTGTCCCATGACTTTTTCAACACAACTTTAATCCCTGTTACCTTCTATTTGGCTTTTTATGCAAATTTTACCTATGGCAAGGTTTGTCCCTTTTGGCTTTTTAAATTTAACTTTAGTCCCAGGCAACTTACAGAAATAAGTACACAAATTAGAAACTAAGACAATCATAGTCAAAGGGGCAGCAGCATATATTGAAAATTATGTTCAAAAATGGTTGCAATGATCGCGTAGATGCATGCCACGCCAAAATATGCACAGAACGCACCAAGTCAAGTGGTGGCGACAGTGGAACAAACCGCAAATCAATTTTCAGACTGCCAGCGTAAGAAGCAGGAACTCCATACACCACCTAACACCTACTCAACTGAATCAATTGTTGTTGCCGCCCTTCGGAGTACACTTGTCCACTACCCCAACAATTCCCGCCCACCACACAGAGCTATTTCCGCGACCGCACCAAATACCGTACCAGCTTCGTTCCAGTGGCTACGCAAACAAGGCTGCACAATGTTCATGGCCCCCATGGCCATGCCTGCTACAATAAATGACGTCATGGTTCTGTTACATGGGCTGAGGCCTACCTAAAAGGCTTTTGCTTTACACTCAAATAGGAGTGCAGTTTCACAACGTAAATGCAGGCTGAAGAGTAAAATAATGACTCACCCTGCCTCCAATATGCGTCAAAAATCAGCTTCCTGCTCGAATTTCTTCAATTTTCTTCCCAGATCTGGGAGGGGGGAGGCTGAAGCCCACCCCACTGAGAAGGAAAGTATACCCCTGCGCTTACATCTTACAAGTCGCGGCATTTCCCTTTTGATTTGCCTAATATTGACTGTGTAGCAGTCCTTGGGCGTTAAAGCTGCTATATTATACCTGTAAACTTGGGTTTGGAAAAGTTCTCATGACGAGCACTACTAGCGGTAGGTACGGCAACACGCTGCATATAACTAGCATTAAAGTTGAAATATTTCCGTTCGTCTGCGTTTGTTCGAATTAAAAGCTAGTGAACAAAATTTTCGGAAATAATTTTCAGCTTGCCATAGACATGACACAAAGGGCCGAAAAAAACAAACCAAACAAAGCACAACCTTCATGAGCATCCCCGATTTGCTGATCCCGGAGGCTAATCGGCAAGCTGTACGTCGCCAACGATCATCGCTCGGTACGAAATGGAAAAGTACTCAGTGCGTAAACAAGGCAGGGGGCTTTAAGGCCGTATCCGGCCTCAGTTGGGTTTAGCGGTGGGACCCAGCGGTCAAATGTTCAGCACTTTTTGGCAATTTAATGGCGCCGGACTCCCTTAATGTCGAAACGGCTGCCCGAGGCATCAAAACAAAATACCGAACCTAACATGCACTCGAACCCAAAACCAGGGCGTTGAGAAAAGTATAAGGCGGATGGAATGGCCGTATGTCCCGATTTGGCGCCCTTATGGGCGAAATTCTGTCTACGCATCTGGGTGTGCCTACCTTGCCGTGAACTTGCGCTTAGCATAACTCAAAGGAAGTTATCAGTGGCGCAGGTTCACAAAATCACAATGTCACACAAGAGCTGCCTTCCGTGCGGTGTAAATCAAAGCGGACCTGGAAGATTTTCCAAAAATGTAGCCCACAATGAGCCTCATACACGCCCGGTTTTGCCGGCAGTCCATTCCATCCACTACTGCATCGCTGCACTTAACTGAGACGACATGATGCCGTGTGCAGACACGACAGGCCCTGGAGCGCCGACATGCAAAAACAAATCTGGACGGCAACCCCTCGGTTTTTAAAGATACATGACGCTGCGTGGCCCTACTCAGCACGACGGCAGTACACCCAATCACATCGTTCGGTTTGGCATATCGTACGATTCGCACGCTGATGGTACGATAGCACGCACGCTGAAAACTCCGAGTCTGCCAGGCATTGGCGCACACTAGAGCTGACCGTTTGGTATTTCAATATTCGTTTTTTTGCATGTCTAAATCTTTTTTACTTAGATGTTCACTCTAAATATGTATTAAGGTGAGCATGCGGCAGGCGGGATATGCCTGCCAATACGACCATTTCATTGCAATGCTAGTGGGGAGAATGTCGAGTCCAGAAGAAAGGTCATTGTCGAAGGTCGGCACGACAAACCCGTTAGTTTTTCGTCACACATATAAAAAGGTGGCCTTAACCAGTCAACCCAGGACAAATCACTAACTTCGTGCGTAGGTAAGAACATTGTGGAAATATCTCCAAAACGCCGACATATCTGGCAGCGCTCACACCGCCTTGTTTCATAGTGCAGGTGGCTGTGCTGTGGAATATTACACTACTCTTAATGTAATATTCTACTGCACAGGTACCTTCAACATGCCCCCAACAATCTGTTACACCAGAAGTGTACCATTACTAAAATGCATGCGGTCACTCTCCCCGACACTTGAACCCGGTGTCGGTGATCCATGAGAACCCGCTTGCACTTCGTCGGCCACAGGGGTATTAAGACAACTGTCATGAAATTCAGAAGTTATATTGATAGCATTTGCAACGATTTGTTCGCTCTTCGGCAAGCATTACGATCTTTTTTATCATCGAAATAGCTATTTCGACCGTCGAATATTCACCAAATCCGAATTTTCAGCTGATATTAGGGCATTACGAACCCGGATGTTCAGCTCTAGTGTGCACGCACGAACAAGCCTTCGCAAAAGAAAAACAGCCAGGAACACTGACTTTGGGCAGGCCTAGCCTATGCTTCTCAACAGACTCACAACTCACGACCAGGTCGGCGCGTGTACCGTTCAGATTGCACTTTCATAACCACAAAAGGTCCACTTCAGTGTCCCATCGCTCAGTGTACTCGCGAAGTGAATTATTTTGTACACTCGAAGGGAAGCGGTGACCGAATGTTGGGCTAATCTGTGGTAAATGGCGGTACACCCTATGCCCAGCGTACGACACGCCCGAACTGAGCCGCGACGATCATCGCCAGCACGATCTGAACCACGGCGATCAACGCTACGTCCAATCTGAGCTGCGGCGATCAACGCTACGTCCAATCTGAGCCGCAGCGATCAACGCTACATCCAATCTGAGCCGCGGCGATCGATGTCAAGTTCGACATGAGCCGCGATAATCAACGCGATGTGCGACCTGAGCCGCGGCGACCAACGCCATGTCCGATCTGAGCCGCAGCGATCGACGTCACGTTCCATCTGAGCCGCGGCGACCAACGCCACGTCCGATCTGAGCCGCAGCGATCGACGTCACGTTCCATCTGAGCCGCGGCGACCAACGCCACGTCCGATCTGAGCCGCAGCGATCGACGTCACGTTCGATCTGAGCCGCGGCGATCAACGCTACGCCACGCATGGTCCGGGTGTCGCGACGAAACGGCGCCCTCTTTAAGTGCCGCCGCTGCAGATCCTGCAGCACAGTTGAGGCGGCAGGCACCCGTGCCACAGCAACTGGTTCAGGTCACGTCCGGCATGATAAGCTTCACGTGCTGCAGCTGGTCCAGGTCACGTGACATGATCCGGCTGCACGTGCTGCAGCTGCCCAAGGTCCCATGACATGAGCTGGTTGCACGTGCTGCAGCCGGTCCACGTCACGTGACGTGGTCTGGCTGCACATGTTGCAGCTGGTCCAGGTGCATGGTGACGATGTGGCGACCGGGTATCATGGCTAGTCCCAGGGGGCGCGGCTCGTCCCGGGAGCCGTCCTCTGCAACGACAGTGCACGCGCTCACATGCACAGTCGACAGTGACGCCGGGTCAGTGGCCGCCACGCTGCGAACGATGACAGTACTCTAACACGACCACAGGTGCAGTCGCACTGACAGCCATGCTCAGTCATACGTCATGATTGATCATCATAGTTTCACTTTATTGTGACTTCCGCATTACTTTTTCGTTATGCAGTGCTCTGCCCTCCAGGTTTATCACTTGGTGGAAAATGACGTCCATTGACCAGCAGTTTCCTTCTCTCTCGGCTTGGTCAAGCTAGCCCATGTGAAGAGCGACAATGAAAAACACCTTACACCGGGACAGGTGGGGTCACAGCACATGATTACACACCTGTTCCAGCAAAATACTGATCATTCAGTAATGGGAGCTTCGCTGCTCACCTCTGGGTGGCATATGCTCCATGCAGTTGCCGAGGATGACGTTGGCGTCTCGGTCCGTGCACCAGAAGATGCCCATCAGTGACCGGCCGTCTGTCATCACGATCCGCATCGTCTTATTCAGGTACGACTCCAGCAGCAAGCGACCTGGAGACTGAAAAAAACAACACGAGCAAATGGCAACGCGTACCATAACACAGCGGTGGCGAATGGGTTCCATAAGTAGGTAGGCAGGTTGGTGCTCGGGGAATCCCACCTCTGACATTCTGGAAGGCTGAAGTGATGACTTGGGGGGCCGAGCTACTAAACCCCACCGTCGTTGCCGCCACAAGCGAAGTCATACATAACTTCAGAGTGGGCGCCGCCTCACTCTTCAGTTGGTGACGCCACTGCCGATACGTATTTACCCAGATACGAAATCCCTGGAGCTGCTTGGATACACACCTGGTTGAACAGTCACAGCTATTCCACGGTTGGTAACTGGCATTCGCCCATTAAAGGTATTTCTGCGCATTTGTATGGCGTTTTGAGCTGAAACAGCCGTTTTGAGGACCTTTTGATGCAGTTCAAGGTCATGTCCTCCAAACAAAGCACCCACTAATTCGCCACCCGACACAGCCCCCGCGACGAGAATGACCGGTTGTCGTCGGCTTTCGTGTGGTTCGAGGTAGTCTTTGAGTCTGTCTGCCAGATGCTGCCAGGATTGCTGTCGTCACAAAACTATTCCATGACGCAATCAAACAATAACATAATGGGGCGCATTTTTACAAACTTTGAAATTCCGTTACTTGACGTCGTTTTTGAACCTTAAAAGCTTACCATTAGTTACAATAAAATTTTCCCATTATATCTGATGCCCACCTCAATATTTTCAAGTGTGGAACATTCCCTTTAACTTCACGGCAAGAAAATGGTTTTAATGACTCATGCCCATTGCATATCAATATTTTATATTTAAGACATGCTCATCTCTTGGGCCTGTTTTGCGACAAAAGAACAAAATTGATAGCACGCAATCCCCGTGGTCTTCCACAGAAAGGATAGCATGCTGATCACATATGATAACAGCCAACTGGCCATTGAAAGTAATGTTGGTCATGAAAAGGTCTTACAAAGCCTTCCTACTGGCCACCTACCGCACATACCATACACCATGCGACATGGGTGGCAATGAAAGGTTTTTGCAACTCTTAATCGCGATACTGAGCACACTGCTAATGTTGAGTACCCTCTTCGATCGCGAGGGACGTCGCAAAATGACGTCAGGTTAAATATTAACTCCGTGAGACCAGTTTTCGGCGAAAGCGTATGCGAGCCTAAAAAGGAAGGGAACTAACATAACCACGCTGCACACAATCGAGTCGCCGGCGTGCTGCATGCAGGGAGCCACCTCATGTGACTGCCCAGCTAGCGAGAGCATCCACCATCAGTGTGAAGCGCTGGTGGATGAAATTCTACACCATGGGAAAGCGCAGTAGACGAACAATGGCCAAAAAGGCCTGCAATCACGTCTGCAATGATCGCGACTGTCGGGAAGGAATCCGCCGACAAAAGTGGGAAATAGTGAAAAAAGTGGTCAGCCAGCGACAAAAAAAAAAACAAAGACGCGTCCGGAGCTTTTATCTGATCTGGAATGGGCCGTTAAAACGTCAGTGAAATTAAAATATATTACTGAATGCCCACAAAGTACATCATACCCAAGCTGACCGAGCAACTACGACCTTATCAGATTCTGCTATCCAAATCACGCAAAAACTCGCCCATTGACGAATGACTGCAAACAAGTTCTCATTCGTAAAGAGTCACCATTCAACCCACAAAATCTCCACAATGACCTGGTCTGGGTTCATGATCCATTGGAAATACCAAGATCCTACCAGTGAAATGTCATTTGAAACTGACATGGAGCATAACATCCCACCAGGCTGCCAGTCTGCTGCACATGATCCTGGAAGACATGTCTGGTACTGCTGAGGTAGGGCCCAGCACAGCACCTTAAAAGGGAAACAAATATCCCAAAAACACATTAAGTTTCAAAAAGACATCAGCAGCCAGGTTAGATGCCACAAAAATCATCGAAAAATTATGATGCCTCAAAGAGGGTGTAAAGAAAGAAAAACGCAAGTCATATGCCACAGCTGCATGTCATGCCATAGCTGTCTGGAATTTATTTAGTCCAGTCCAGTCCAAAAATAAGCCCAGAAATGTCACCCCTGAGCATGGTGTGAGTGTCAATTATTGTGCATATGATCTGGCTGCCCCTTGCCTCATCATTTGTCAAGCTACCACAACTGAAAAAGAAAGGGGCAGTTCATTATTTGGGCACTGAACCTACAACAAATATAAAGCTTTAACTCTGATACAATGCATGTTGAATCTATTCTGCACTGCCACCCAATGGTTTACTCATAATTTACCAGACCACAGAAAAAGATATGACTCACATGGTTTTAAATAAATAAATAAATAAATAAATAAATGTATATATATATATATATATATATATATATATATATATATATATATATATATATGTTTGCACCAAGTCAGCTGCTCATCTGATGCAACTGTGCAGAGAACTTCTTCTTTGACAATCATCCAGTAACAATGTACCTCAAGTTCATGACAATACACTCATGGGCCTGTCATATATGAACTGAAATGGACCACTTGAGCTTACATTTTATTCCCAGGTGTCTGTTCAAAATTTTCAGCCAAAATATCAAAGGGATTTATCTTTACTTAAGACCACATACATTCTGTTGTGACTGGCAAACACCATTGTTTTCATTTTTACTAGAAGAAGCCAGGTTTTTCTAGCCTATAGAAGAGAGGAGTATCTAAAATGATTACCTGAGAACTTATGATAACACCTCCAACCATGCAAGCCTAAGCTTTTCGCAAACCAAAATAAGTAGTGCAACACCTGAGTAAAACATAGTTATTGAGCTCCCATTTGCAGCCTATACAATTGAAACAATAAACTGGGTCAATACTGAAAACTAAACAGTTTACCTGATTCTCCATTTTTGGCTGTTTGGGTGGGTGCTGTCTAGGGTCATGTCTTTGCTTCTCAGCTTCAATTTCTTCTGACTTTAAAGTCATATCAACCAGATTGTTGTAGAAGTCCCCATTAGGAACTCGGCCTGATGACATTTTTTGCAACTGAAATCAAGCCACTTCTCAGAATATCACAGCAGGTGAAATATACATAGCATCAAAGAATGGGCAATGGGCATACCAGTGTAATCATTATCTGTATGGAGTAAATTAAATTTCATTGGCTTCAAAAACAGCTTTGGCATCCAGTTGTTTAGTTAACTGGAATGTTACTACTTTTCCAATGTTGTCTTTGGTTTCACAACTTAAAAAATCTTGCAATGATGCAAGCATATATAAATGTGTAGTGATTACCATTCCCACATCCAATGGCAAGGCCCAAGGTCTTGAAAACTATTACAAGATGAAATAACTCTAATTGCCATGTAAAAATATATCAAATGACTCAGGTAACAAACAAACAGCTCCATGTATCTACCCCCTATATTGTGTCCAAAAAGCTCAGAACCTTAATATGACACACAGTAAGCATATGTCGTAATGCAAGTCAATGTCTATATTTAGGACACAGCAAGACCAGTCACACCATCTATTAGTTCCGCACGGATATGGGTGGCAGAGCCGCAGGGATTAATGCTGCAACTCGTAAAACCAAAACGCTTGAAGAAGTGATATAGAACAGATCAATAAAAATTCATCCAGAGCACCGTACAAGAGTGGTCATTAAATGCCCACCCTTCCAAACTTGCGTTGCCACATATGTGTTTTGTTATCTATGTACTGCCTCAAACGGTTCTTCCTGTTTTGTCTCGGGGAAGTCGTAATTGTAAATAAGATATAGCCAGTTCGTCGAATTGGTGGGACTAAAATTCCAGGCATTTTTAAAGCATATTGGCTTCACATAATCCAACCCGACCTCATGTGAAAGAATGAAGTACACATTTGCGGAACGGATTTCTTTAATTTATTGGAAATACAGCCCCATCCGCTCATTCCAACACATTCCGGCGACTAGTCGCGCTGGTACGAATTTGCAGAAGTACGGTGTTTTGTAAATGGGCCAGCGACCTCGGTTGTTCCCCGTCACATCAATAGGTAGTTAGGCGATTCGCGTGGGGGTGCTCATGGGATTCCAGGATCCGCATTGTTGCTTAAGTGAGGTACACTCTGGGCTCATGTTCGCCAGGCGGTGCCAGTTCGCCGATATCTGATTGACGGCAGGAGTCATAAGGTGGTTGAGTTCGGGTAACCAGCTTTAAACATCATTTGCTACTTTTCTTTGGATGCATGCGTTAACATACAACTGCCCCTCTCTCTTCTCCAGACTATCCGATAGGTTGGCAGGGGGATGTCGTCGCCTAAAGAGGTTTGAGTGGGATTTGGTATAGTAAGGTGTGTATGTGGGGGGTGGGGGGGGTGGAGGGGGAGGGACAGCATGATCACCATGAACATTTTCCATCCATGTTGCAATAGACTATAGTTAGGAAGAATTATTTCACTTTGTGTTAATTTATGTGGTAAACTATGCAAGGTTAAATGCCTATCTTGATTTCTGGATTGTTTACATTTTTTGCAATATGAATATTTGATAAGAGGGAGGGGCTGTAGTTGTACCCATTGTCCCCCCTGGGTCTGTCATTGGGTATCTAGGCCCATTCCAGCCAGTGTGTTTGAAATAATTGCAGCTGTAATGAATGTCCTATATTATTCTGTGTGTAATTTCTGAATATTTGGTATGGTTCATGCTTTTCCCAATTGCTTTGCCTGAAAGCTGGTCTTTGCCAATTGTACTCAGATTAGATTGTATAATTCTTGTGTCCTGGGTTTATGATGTTTTAGGCAACCTAACCAAACTACACATTTATAAAAGTTTGATATACTTAGCATTGCTTTTGATGATTCTAATTTGCTACATGTTATGTTCAAGGATTATGCACCTCTTCAGCTGGACACAAACTTTCATCTTGGCATCTGCATTAGTGCTCTCGGACTGTACCCAGGTGGTGGAGGATGACATACATACACTACCTGTTCTGCTATGGTGGACACCATTTGGGGGAAATCCTAGCTTTGTGCAGGAGTGTGGCACCCACCGCTGTGTGGTGACTGATGATCGAGCGCGGACCACCGATCCACGCCTGGGAGCCTTCCTTTTCTATGGCTCTGACCTGCAGCCATGGGACCTACCGCTGCCACGCAATAGCCGCGTCTTATGGGCGCTGCTGCACGAGGAGTCACCCAAGAACGCGCCCATCTTCTGCCATGATGACTGCATAGGACTTTTCAACGTGACGTCAACGTTCCGCAGTGGCAGCGACCTGCCGCTGACATTGCAGTACCTGGGTTCGCTTGACGAACTGACGTCGTCGGCGGCGCTGTTGTCGTTGGAGCAGAAGGCGGCCGCGGGGCTGGCGCCGCTCGTGTACCTGGCCTCCGGCTGTGACAATCCGCTGCAGCGTGACGAGTACGTGCGCGAGCTGATGCGCTACATCGCCGTCGACTCGTACGGCGCGTGCCTCAACAACCGGCAGCTGCCGACGTCGCTGGCCGACCCAGCCGAGTCCGATGAGACCGAGCTCGATGCGCTGCTCGCGCCGTACCGCTTCTACCTAGCGTTGGAGAACGCCGTCTGCGACGACTATGTAACCGAGAAGCTGTGGCGCCCGCTGCGGCTCGGCGTCGTGCCCGTGTACCACGGCGCGCCGAACGTACGCCGCTGGCTGCCCAACAACGACTCGGCTGTGCTGGTCACCGACTTCGCGTCGCCGCGCGCGCTGGCTGCCCATCTGCGTCGACTGGGCGCCAATGCTGCGGCATACGCGGCCAGGCTGCGTCATAAGCGAGGCGTCATCACCAACCGGCTGCTACGCGAAACATTGGCGGCGCGCGACTGGGCAGCACACGACCGCACGAACGGCCCCAGCTTCGTGGAGGCGTTCCAGTGTCACGTGTGCGCGCTGGCGTGGCGGCCGGAGGTGGCGCCGCGGACGCGCCGACCGCATGCACTACGGCTGCCCGCGGCCGGCGCCGCTGCTGCCGGTTGCCGGCCGCTCGTGGTGGGCCGAGCAGTGGGAGCACGCGACCTACGAGGCACGCCTCATGCGCCGCCTGGTGGACGAGGGCCGCGCCGTCACGCGTGATCCGCTTCTACGAGCGTGTGCTGCACCTGCTCAATGGCAGGGACGAGCTGTGATCGACCCAGGGATGGGACCTCGTGGCGGTGCACCGCGCCCAAGCTACGTCTTTTTCAGCCGCCAAGAGGGCATGCAGTATGGATTGAAGGCCCACTTATGATATGAGCTTGTAGGCGGAGTTGTTTTTGCATATTATGTCGTATCGTGTCACTTCATCTGTATGTTGGAACAACAGTCCTGTAATAGCAAAACTATTGCGATAATTGACGTGGGTCATTATATGCAACATGTGTCTGTTTGATACCCTGGAATTGGAGCGTGTTATACCTACACTCCCCCGCTGAACTTAACAACGCTGAGCACGTTTGAGTGTCTTTCGGATCTCGTGATTACGTGTCCAGACTTGACTATCGACCTTAACGATGTTGGCAAGTTTTTCGCAAGTATGCATCATGTTTTGGCAGGGTAAAATATTGTAGCGGTGCTTTTCGATGCAATATCATTACATTTTATACCTGCGTGAAGACGGCGTCTACACGAAAGCACTGAAAGGAGCAGGTGCTGGGCATGGGGCAAAGGAGCCTTGCAACATCCAGCAGTGTGAGACCCCTTTTCACTGGCAAAGCCAACAGAGCCTGAGTTAAGTAAACTCATTTAGTTTTGCTTATTTGTCGTGATATTCGGACATTACCCGTCCCACTGGTGGAGCCGCTGGAGAAAACTAACTTTCGAAATGGCCTCCCGCTCTGAAAAATAGCAATATTTTACGATGTATTCGTCGCTGAAATTAACGGTTTGAGCATCTCTGTGTTCAACGATATGCGTGGTCAGGGTTGCATGTTTTCTATTCATTGGGAGAGGGGGAGGGCAAATTTGGGCTTCAGGCTCCTATTTTTGAGAAGACAGTGAGCCTAGCTGCGGGAGAAGCCCGTCTTTTGTCGTATTTTGGGTGGTATGCTACGTCATTTTTTCGGTGTTAAGCTCCCGTCTCATCCGGGGAAACTGCTCCCCTGTGGACAGTGTTGGGTTACATTGCCCCGAGAAAAAAGGCTTTGTCTCCCTCGGCTATATTAAGTTGATGCATCCGGAATGTCGCTTCCTTAAGCCCATTGAGGAGGCTTACCGAAAAGGTCGACATGACCTTCCCCAAAAACTTGATTTCTCCCCGGATTTCGGGCTACTTCGAATTTGCGTCCTCGACGTTTAAATTCGAGATAAAACTTCTTTTAATGTTGTGTAGGTTCAAACTTGCCACGATGTAGAGGGGAGAACGTCCTATTTCATGTCAATGTGAGCTACCTTTTTTGGACAAAAGCTTGCAATGAGGTGTAATTCACAGAAAAAAACATCAGTAGACCTCAGTAAGTGATCACTAATGGCTATCGCTGTCCCTGATCGTGTTGTATAACGGTCACGGCCACGATTATGCGACAAATACATTTTCCGCCGTTGGGAAAAACATGCCACGCGTCAACTTTATCTGGGCCATCCTGTGCTTTTAGAAACTGCTATGTATAACTACAAAATGTTCCTTATCCCAATCCAGGCATCATTTTAAAAAAAAATACTTCAAACATTCGCAGACTGGCTTAACATATGACGGGGCTAACATGAAAAAACTTAGGACACCTACAGAACATAACTTGGTAATAATTAGCATGTTTCTAATAATGATGCGTTACGTTACTTGCTGCCCAGCATACCCATAGTTAGGTAAATTGTCCTGCCTTTATTTGGCCCAGTGCTCCATCTTCGCTCATATGCATCGACATAGCTCAGAGGAGCATTGGGGGCGGGGGCTCAAACCAGCAATGGGCGCCAACGCCCCCCCCCCCCCCCACCGAAAGCAAGTAAAGTGACGTTCCTGGATATGTAAGCTCTGCTATTCTGGTGTCTCGCCTCCGGCTCACTGGTACACTTAGTACGTCCAAAGTCACTTATATATCTAACACTCGTCACATGCACTCCACAAAGTCCGTGCCGCCGACGCGTCCCTCCTTACACCTGCGGGTCCCAGTCTTCTCGTTACTGCCGCCTGCCCTGGCCCGCGCGGACGCGTCCCTCACACGGGGCGCTTGTGGCAGGAGGAGGCGAACGGAGTGCCTCTTAGCGGCGCTCACCAACTACGCAAACATTCGCTGGCTAGCAAGAACGTGTTCTCCAATACCTTGCAGATACACCCACGCTCCCCCCCCCCCCCCCCTAGCCGATGATGAGAGTCGAATGTTTCAACGACACCAGGTCGGTTCCCAGCCTCCTGCCCCTATCGTGGGATGGCGAAGCGCTGCTTAATTGCGGGCTACGAGATGGCGCTGTATGAAAGCTCACCCGCCGCAAATGATACGATTGTGAACCTAAACAAATAATGACTCATCCATCCAGACGCCTGGGCATCGTTGGGTTCAATGTTCGAATCCGGGGTCTGGTTCCGTGAGCTATCTTGAGGTATGCAGATGGTCGGTTTCGGTGTTCAGGTGATCTTACTGGTATTTTTTAATTTTTGAAACGCCACCTCAACTTGAAATGGCGTATTCACTGAAAATCGCATCCCTAATAATTTCCTATGATCAACTTAATCGCCATTGACCGGTCGGAGAGACCTGCACATCGCGACATCCAAAGACTCTGTGGAAAAAATGGTGTGGTTGAAATTACTGCTGACTGGGGAACAATCTGAGAGACTGATGGATTAATATGCGAGCTCACTGCAATAGGCCATGACTTTACAGTGAAGGAAATTTTACATGATGGTTAATTCATGATTTAGTTTTTGGGATTATTTGCATTTGTCAGTTGATCACCTATGTCATAGCATCTCTGTCTCAAAGCCTTGTGGCAGAGAAATGGTTCAGATAGTTCTGAAGCTGAGAAGCAAGCACACTGGAAGTGGAGGCTAAGGAAAGTGTTTAGTATATAGCATGATGTTATAGTTCAATCCTTATGTGTTTTTGTGGCAAATGCTTTGATGTAGGGTCTGGAATCTGACTCCCTCAATACAACTGGCTCTTACCAACAGGCACCCAAGCCTGAATAGTGATATATTAATGCTTACAACCCCATGGAAAAAGCATGCTGCAATTTATATAGCTTTGTCATGCTTTATTTGTTTATGAACATGCATATACCCATGACTCATTGTTAGCATGAGTTGCTGTTATGTTATGCCTGCACCACTTATGGAAAGCTTTATCCCATTTTCTGGCTAATGTGACTCATGCAGCCATGGGAGGATCTATAAATAATAATATTTTGTCTGGAAACCATTTCATGCAGTGTAAACCAGAGTTGGCATATTGTGTCAGGATATGCATCATAGTGTTTCAGCCCAGGTTAATCCAGCAACCTTCTGCAGCTACCCTGTTTTATGTATTAAGCATAGCTCATAGGTTACACACACTAGGGTGGAGGATCAAATTGACCCCCAAAGTTTTTTTCTGGAATAATCTCCAATCAGCATGATGAAGCCACACAAAATGTTGCATTTGAATATGTTGAAAAATGTTGCAGTTGAATATCAGGTTATCTAGCATACAAATTTAGATGTACCTTGTAAGGTCACTGACATGTGGTAGGTCAAAGTCAGACCATGGCTTCAGCAAAGGCAATCTCTTGGGGCTCATTTAATCTGTTCCCTCAGTGGAGTGCTAGATGAAGCCATATATATTTGAGATACTTTCTTAGGCAATACAGCAATTGAATGAACACATTTCATTGACCTGGGATCATATATGAGGATCAGACCAAGGTCACAACTAGCCTGTTTTATTACTCTAGGGTTTGCTGCATGGGGTAGTTTCTGGTGCCCATTTCGAATTTATTGATAACAGGAACTGAATTATACACCCTTGATGTACTTCTTAGGGGTCAGGATAGGTTACTGGCCTAAAATGACCCAGGCCAACATTTTGCTTTTATGAACATCCTGCCTAGTGTAATATTTGTTGCTGGTTCAAATGTGAATGCAAAACAAAAACAAAATGAAACAAAACAAATGCAAAACAAAAGCAGTCTGGTAACATTCTGGTTGCCATGACCTTCAAAAGGTCAAGCAAGGTCACTGACCTTAAATGAGCATGTGACTTTTTACTTAGAACAGGTTATCTAGGTTCTAGGGACCCTTAGGAGATCAACCTGAAATTTGACTGTTTGACCTTATTTGACCCAAAGGTCATGACCTAGGAACCTCAAACTTTGACCTAAGTGAGTTTATGTACAGGTCAACACACCTTGTGCATTTGGTACATCTAACTCTCTTAGTTGTTGAGATCTCGATTTGACCCACCGAGTGAAGGGTATCCTGCCAGCCAACCTGGCGCGTTTTAAGCAGCAGTGTTATATGGCTATTCAAGGGTCCCTGCCAAGCTCATTGTGCAGTGTCTATCCTCTGGAACCATCTGTATGTCACCACTATGCTAATCTGTACAGCAATTCTCACCAGACATCCCTGTGCCAACAGGAGCTGGACATGGCAACTGAGGGTGACAGCGTGGGAGAGGCCACCTTCCACATTGGCGACAGAGTGTCGTGCGAAGGCGAGCGCGCCACTGTGCTGTTCGTGGGCGCCGTGGACGGCTCAGACGGCCTCTGGGTGGGCGTCGAGTGGGACCACCCTGAGCGCGGCAAGCACAATGGCCGAGTCAAGGGCAAACAGTACTTCCTGACCAGGTGTGTGGGTGGCAGGATGGTCGCGACAGGTGTTGTTATGCTGGCACACTCATTCCAGTCCCCGTTTTCATCATCAGCTGATGACACCATGTGACAGCGACCAGAGCCTGAACCCTCACGCCTGTCTCGGCGTTGAGTTGACAACGTGCGGCGGACCTGATGGTAGTCACGCGATGATCCATGCCTGCCTCAGTTGCGGAGTATCCGGAGGGCTACATCACCTCAGCCGTGAGGTCAGCGCGGGCGAAACGTTCTACTCAGACATCATTTCAGACCGACCGTTATCAGACTGTCAGCTGAGTTTGAAGGACAATGAGACGTTGCTGACTCGCGGCACGCCGCCGCGCCTGTTTTAGTCACGAGACGGGCGGCTCGCTGGTACGTCCCCGGAAGCTGAGCCGGCCCGTGCAGTGCACGGAGGCGGTGGTCGAGCGCTACGGCATCATCATCAACACCGAGAGCACCGTCGACAGGGACGAGCTGGATGCCCTGCAGCGAGACCTTAACGCCAGGTTTGTTCAGGTAATTTATTGGGGCGGCCAAGCGGGAGTGATGAAGTTTCCGACGGAAAACCGATGTAAGTGTCGAATGGGGAATCGATGCGGGGCGTGTCTGAGGAGCAATGAGCGCGAATTATGCGTTGCACTCCATTGAGCTGGTAACTGTTTGGCGGGGAGGTACCACGCGTCAGGGCCCGCCCGCGTCTCAGTATAATGGGCAACGTCTCGTAAAAATGAGAAGCAAGTAGGGCTGGATCTGTGTTTTGACTGAGACTGCTTTGACTGAGAAAGTGTAATGCAGCGCTGCATTGTTCTGTGATGTATTTAGAGATCGTGAGAATATACTACATACGATTGGCATAACGACGCTGATCTTTTTTCGGTAGGTGATTGGCCTGACCAAGCTTAACAAAAAGCAAAGCAAGCTGGACTTGCTGAAGAATGTGTATCTGCGGGAGTGTCTGATCACGGGCGACAACCCTCCGGTGAGTACCCCGGCTCCCCGGACGGGGGCCGCCTGTTTTCACGCATGCGGCAGCTTCCGATCAATATTATTGCGTCTCCTCTGGCACCGTGTCCTGGTGAATGTCGCTCTCTGATGGCAACGACCTGTCGACATCCAGGGGCACGTGCGATCATTGATGGGACTCCTCTGTGAGTGCTTCACGCTGCCAGCCTCTGTCCGCTTACGGTACCCGCCATCGACCAGCGGTCCGGCACGACAGCGGCCCCTGCCCTCGCCGGTCTCTGGCCGTTCGTGCGTTTATCTGGCGCCTCGGACCTCCGGAGCCTGACGCGGCGCCTCTCCGGGGTCAGCCGCACCTGACGCTGCGTCTCCGTCTCTCCGCCAGCTGCTGGGCGAGGTCTGTCCCAGCATCGAAGAGCTGGATTTGGCCGAGAACCTGCTGAACTCGTGGGCGGCCGTGGCCGACATTGTACGTCAGCTGCCGCGGCTGCGCGTGGTTAACCTCAGGTAAGAAACCTTGCGACTGGGGTGATGCTAATGGGATTAGCTGCCTGCTCATGGTGCGGTTCTGGCGCTGGTGAGATATGAGGACTGTTTGGTAGTGGGTTGTTTTTCGTGGCGAGCTCGCGTTTCCAATTTAGTCCAATTCAGTCCAGAGTGTTCGAGTCGAGTAGTCTCGCCAGGAATGCTGGTCACGTAGTTGACGCTCCTCGTCCGACACCTGGAAGAACTGCGGCCTCTGGTATGGCGTAATCCAGTCCTCTGGGTCTGCACATTTACATCATATGGAGTCCTCTGACATTAATTTAACGCGACATGCAGCATGTACTACCTAAGGATGTTTTCGACCTCAAGTGCCTAGCTGTCTACCTTTCATCATCAAAACGGGGTAGCTCTGGCACGGATTGCTACCGGTATCATGTCCGTTGTTCATGTCCATCATTTGTTGCGATGGGTCTCACCACCGGCACAGGTCATCTCGGTCATCGCAAACCACCTTAGTCCCCCAAACCTGCCTGTTGTATGGTACCAGGCGTGCCGCTGTTGTCCTCACACCTGCTGTACAGTCAGTCCGTGTTCGCCCTCCGTTTGTCGCCAGTGAGAACCGGCTGCTGGGGCCTGATGCGTCGCTGCGGCCCGCCTTCGCCACCGTGCGCATCCTGCTTGCCAACCGGCAGCGCTACACGTGGAGCGAGGTGCTCGAGTGCGCCTGCATGTGGCCGCACGTTCACCGGCTGACGGTACGCCGACGGCGGCGGAGGCCTGCGTGGAGTCGCGCTCTTCTCCGGGATCTATGCCGTTTGTTGGCACGGTTTGACAGTCAATCATTTTGGGGGTGAAGACGGTACTGTGCAGTCTTCGACCTGCTGATCACATAGCTTTTTTACGCTAAATAAGTATATCTGTGTTGATAAGATGCGTGTTGAGCCCAAGATGATCGTACCCTCGTGTGTATGGGCTGGCCATGCCCATGCCGCCTGGCACGCCAGCACAAAATCAGCCTTATAATTTATGAACACTGCAGACTGGTCTCCTGTGTCGGGGTCCTCGACTGCAAATCAATGAGTAATGTCGTGTGCACGTCATGTGTACTATTATGGCTTCAAAGCAGAGGATAGCTCGAGCTCGTTGCCTGCTGTTTCAGCTGGTAACGAACAAGATCTCACAGCTGCAGGCGCCGCCGCCCGGCCTCTTCCAACAGCTCGACTCTCTCGACCTGGACTCGAACCCCATCGAGGACTGGTCAGAGATCCTCAAGCTGGCTGCGCTTCCCAGGTAGCTACAGGCGGCCAGCCTCCAGTGGCTACTCGCATCGCCGAGCACCCCCGAACAGCCTGGCAATGAGACGAGTGTCGAACCAGTCCTCTGTAGCGTCTGGAGTGCTCGTGACGTCCGGGCTGGCACTCAGGCAGCTTTGTGGCGGGCAGAGATACTTTGGTCGGCAGCTGCCGTTGAGGCTCAGCTTCATACGACCGTTTGAGATCGTCGGTTTGTGGCAGACATTGTTGGCAAGCAGATAGTTTGTGTGATTGTCTTTTGGTTGCCACTGGCTTGCAGATTGCTGAGGTTACGTGACATGAGGTCAGGCGAGTTGGCGTAACGTGACGCCAGGCTAAGCCAAGCTAAGCTTAATGTAATTGAGCTGAGCTAGGGTGGGCTAGGCCAGACTAAGCTAGGCTAAGCTAGGCTGGGTCCCCGGAGGCTGGTGTTTGGGGGGGGGGGGGGAGGGACAACCTATCAGCTTGTGTCGATGTGACGAGCTGATGACGTTTATCTTAAACCATGCATTCGATGTGATGGTGACATTGGTTTCCACGCTTGGCTGTGCCACTGGCGGGTTGGTGACCTTTGATGACAGCCTGTCAGAGCAGGTCGATGACCTGTGACCGTGCGTTGGCAGATTGCGCGAGCTTGGTCTCGCCAATACTGGGCTTCGCCGAATAGAAGTGCCGAGCGACGCCACAGACCTGTTCCCCGCCCTGCACAGCATGGTCCTGGACGGAAACTGCATTGACGAGGTATTGACGTTCCACTGCATTGAGAGCTAGCGCATCCGACTGCTAATTACAGCCGCTGGCAATAGCTCCGCTAGGATGTGCGACTTGCGCTGGACCACTTAATCTATCGGGCTAGGGTGGTCGCTGTGTGGCGTTAGCTGCTGCCTGAACACTGGCCCAGCGTCTGGGAACATTTTGTTGCAGTGATGTGTGCTGTTGGCGTGCAAGGGTGTGGATTTGATTTTTTGAACGGGGCACAAAATTCTCCTTCAGTAGGTCAAAAACCATAATATAATTGTTTGTCATTGAACCAGTATCACATATTTGTATGCATCCGGTATTGTATATTGTTATATTTTTGTGGGGGAGAGGAGTAGTTTTAAAGGCATGCAACTCCTTATCCACCACCTTTGTAACTACAAAGCACACCATTGCTGACACCTATGGCCGGCAGTGGGGTTCGGTGGACGCCATGGACCGCCTACCGAGCCTGGTGGACATTACGCTGAGGAACAACCCGCTGTCTGCCTCCGACCGGCCCGAGTCCGTCCGCGAGCTCATCATCGGCCGCATTGGCAAGCTGAAGGTGAGCACCAGGGTCGCGCGCGCCGGCGCGGCCGTCTCACCGGCGCCGGCGCCGCGCCGCGGCCGTCTGCCCTCCGTAGCGGCGCTTCTGACCGCGCCTGACCAGCTGTCCCGCCGCCAGCGGCTCCGATATGGTCAGCAGCCGCGGTGTGATGTACGCCGCAGTTGGGCAGACAGCCGTGCTGGCCTGAGGAGTCCTCGCCGTTTGTCACATGCGAGCCGTCCGTGACGGGTCCGGGCGCGGCCGTCAGGTGCTGAACCGGACCGAGGTGACGCGCGAGGAGCGGCGCTGGGCAGAGCTCGACTACTTGCGCCGCTTCGGCCCCGCGTGGCGCGAGGCCGGCGGTCGACTGGACGCGACCGAGCGCGGCGACACCTGGCGCCGCTTCCTGGAGACGCACCCGCGATATCCGCAGCTGTGCGAGGGTAGGTACATGGGCGTTGCTGATTGGTGGTGGTGGTGGTGATTGGGGGGGGGGGAGGGGGCCTGATAGGGTTCAACATTGCTGTATGATGTGTGATTCCTCAAAATGATGCATTTTAAAGTGTTACTTAGCCAACGTGGTCATGTGCTTTTCACATCCTTGCCACCCCTGCCATCCAATGGCAGTGATGCATCTTGTAAAATGGCACAAATGTTTTAAAATTGTTGAAGTTGAAGGGTTATGCCAGGTTTTTTCGGTTTGCACAAAGGCATACCTGTGAGAAAGCATGCGTGATCCCAAGCAAAAGCACGCATTTGGCTCAAACGATGTATGCTCTACACGTTAGTTACTTGAATCACGACAAAAGGGTGTAACAGAACGAGTATGTTCACTTGCATTGGGCTTACAGGGAGTATATGATTTGTGTTAAGGACGTATGCGCCCTGATACGTCCTTTTGGCATGTTCCTATGACAAAATTGCTTGTGCCAAAGCATGTATAACCACACATACGTATGTTGCATGAGGATTAGCACGACCCCAACGGAGTGAAAGCGCAGCTGTTCACTCAAACATATCTAACACATGCTTTGAACTTCCGGCAACGGCATGAATTGTGAAGCGTAGGTTTACGCATACTTTGTCAACTATCATTTAGAGGGTAATAATTACTTAGTATAGGAAGGTTTCAATGGTAAATACTGTGTCAACAATGCATTTCTTCAACACGGACGGACGCTTTGCGCGCGCGTCGCATGCAAGTCTGAGGGTCTAGCGCAGTGTGCTCACCATCTTCTGATCTGGAAGTGTACTGCTGGTTTTAAAAAAGTGTTTTAACAGGGGCAGGGGCGATGAGAACCGGTATATAGGGCTATAGTTAGCAATTTAATGGAAAACCATAAATGGAAACTGTACTTGTGGATGAACCGATGAAAGCACCAGCGAAGGGAAATGGCGCCACGTGCCATTGGCCTCAATTTTAAGTCATGGACCAATATTTTCGCTTCAGAGCTGTCATGTAATAGTTCAGTAAGATTTGGGAAGGACTGGTGAAGAGCTCAAGGGTGATGACCGATAGTTGCGTTGATGGCACGTTACCAGGGATGAAAGCGACCATGCGACCATATCAGGGATGAAAGCAACCAGCAACCAAAGCTGATGCTTATTACCAGCTGATCAACAAACAAGTGAAGAAATGGAAAGAGCCTCTGGTGTGAAGTGCCAATGTCTGACCAAGAAGATGAAGATGGCAACTTTCTTAACTAGAGTGATGCGCTCAAGGGCGGAAAAATCAAGAAGCTTCAGTGCCAACACCAGTGACACTGAGAACCAACCCCAAGACAACTAACATACCTGCGGATCAGCTAAAACTGGTCCGCAGTCCGTGGAGGGACATTGCACTTGTTACTAAGACCAACCTTGACCAAACAATGTGGTGCCCACATAGCATCGCAAAGGAGACGTTTGCTTTCACCAGGACCGGACCTCTAAGAATTGACAAAGATGAACATGCACAGACTGCATCCCACCCATTTCCACCCATGCCCCACGCAAGAGGCAGCTTTGGGTATATGGAGATCCGTGTCGAGTCGAAACCGAAGCACCTGGTGACGGCCTGAGCGTACTGTGGCCTAGATGTTGTCCTGAAATGACAAGCTCGCACAGTTTCGGCTCTAATAATGTTCAAGGCAGAATGATTAACGGCTCTAGGGTGAGGCCAAGATGATTGTGATCTCGAGATACATGGCTTGAGGCTGTGTTATGGTGGCAAATAAGCTGTGTGGAGTCCATGCCGTATTTAAAGATCAACTAGCAAGTGCTACACTTCAACTTTGATGTCACAAATTATGCACAATCATGACTGGATGATCTTTTGTGTGTGGAAGCATAAGAATGTTAGTAAATTGAGTTTTCATTTCAATAGGATGTAGTATACCCAGGAAACTTTGTCAATATTTCATGGTGCTGCAGACAGCAGAGAGCATCTTATGGATATCCATTAGTTATTATCATCCTGGGGTTAAAATAAAAAGAAATGCTATGAAAATGATTGGTGATCTCAACATATAAGAGCTTTGTTGGATTTGACAGGCAGTACTTGGAACCATTAGCATGTCAAAAGAGGTATATTGTGCATGAAAGTACTTTTGCCACCTGTATGCACGCTCATACTGTGTTTGTAGCACACACACATGGAATGCACTCCTTGTCTGGGGTCTTCACACCAAAATGATGTAGAAGTCAATACTGAATAGACTTTGCACCATTTTAACCCTAGTTAAAATATTTTACATCATACAAACAGTCCTCAGCAATTACAGGAAATCTGTGACTGTAAGCAAGCACCACATGCTTTTGTAATGTCATTTGAAACCAAATCATGCACAAAAACACTAAATCAGCTCTCCTGAAAACTGCTAAAATGTTGCATATGCCCTTTTGCCACAAGGTGGTAGACCTCAGAGCAGTAGTGGACCACATTGCTGTGGGCACAGGCAGCTGGTGCCTATAGTCCCACATATTTCACTGGAATTGGGGTGCATTGATGATCTCGCTTTTGTGCGAGTCTTTGGTTTGGTTTTGCAATTTTGAGGCAATCTTCACTTGCAAAAACATGGGCGTGTTTTGAATGGCTAATCTCATCACAAATGTTATCATTGTATGACTGTAATATTTGATATGTAGTCCAGATAAATACTAAACAAAAGCCAAGATTGGTGTGGCATGGTCTCCAAAGCTGGGATGCTAGGGAAACCAATCATGTAGCATCCAGAAGGCTAACAAGTAAGATATCTTCATTAAAAAGATGTGGGTCACCATCCAGTTTCAGAAACAAGTTGAGTGATGTTTTAAATTGCATGTATTAGGTGCATGTCCATTTGTCACATGGTATCGAAACTGAACAAGATCTGAAAAAGAGGACAGTGAAATGTACACAATGGATAACCACATTGTCATTGTATGTGCCTTTTACAAGATATTCGGAACTGAACCACTTTAAAACAGATGTTAAATGAGTAGGTAGATGGCTGGGACAAAAATGCACACATTTAACCTTTCATTTAGCACCTAAGCGGTGGTGAGTGCAGACTTTTCATTGCTATCACCATCAGACTCTGAACCTGATAAGTCACTATCATCTGGAAGGTCAGGATCAATCCACAGCTGTTTCTTCTTCTTGGGCACAGGATTTACATCCTTCTTTCCCCTTTTTGTTGCTGAAGGTTCCTCAGAGTCATCTGCAGACCTTTTCAATCCATGTTCTAGGCTACCATCCTGGCACTTCTCAGTTGATGTTCCTGCTTCAATTGCATCAAACAGGTTATCTTGTTGCTTTTCCTTTTGATCCATATATTCCTTGTCTTCAAAAACATGCTTTGGCTTTTGTCTCAATTTTTCAAGCCTAGCTTTCTTCTTATCATCTGATTCCTTTTGCCTTTCAGCCTGCTTGTCAATCCAAGTTTTAAGACGTTTTTCTTCATTGATATCACGCAGCCTTCGGCCACTCAAGTCCCTGCAAGCCTCCCTGTTAGTGGTCTTCTCAATCTGTGCCCCAATGGCCCTTAGCATTGATCCAAATCCACCCTTGCCTCCTCTCAAACGAGGCACAATTTGTACAGCATCTCCTGTACGAAGATCTTGCGGCTGCACAAGTTTCCCGTTTTTCACCAGATAAGCATCAGCTACCAAAAGCAACTGCTGGAGATGCTCCAGGTCCATCCCACAGGTGGTAAAATTCAGAACTCGGGCCATGTCAAAGCAAGACCAATCTTTCGCTGGACTCACGCCTCAATATTTATGGAGCTTCCACGATATGCCGCTCTTTGGATGGAACTATTGTTAGCCCAGCCTGATTGAGTGAAAATACCTGGGGCCAGCGTGACTACGCGTGACTCCCGAGCCACGACCACCTTCACCCGCGATTCACCAGTCCTGCGCAACGCCTACGCCACCACCCCGCAACGCACTACCCTCTGCGGCTTAGTCCCAAGGCCTCAGTTCTAGTATTTGCTCAACACACGCCAGGAATATCGGAGACGTTTGGTCACCTGAGACGCGTCGCAATCGTAACGGTGCTAAAACGCTGCCCCACCAAATTTACGGCGCCGGTCGCTCGGGCATTGAATGGCGATAATATGCCTTTGCATATAGCTGTTTCTGTAGGTAATGTATAGCTGTTAACTGCTGGTTTGTAATGGCTGCAGCTATACATTTTGCGATCATCGTGCTGTGGTTTCAAAATTGAAATAATTGTGGTCCTTTGCATGACTTCACCAAATATATTCTCAATTTTCGCTTGTTTTGGGTGCGTCATAGTGCCGGCCTATTAAGGTTCGTTGATGCGCCGCTTCGGCACGTACCGTCCATTAAGTAAAAAAGTGATTAGTTATTGGTGCTTTGGAAGCATGGTGTGCCATTAGCGCATGGCTGGGAGTGCGAGGTAGCCATATCCGGAGGTCGGGTTGACCTCGGCCGCACGGGCGGCGTGTGACGACGGCCTCCGCTGTGCAGTATGGGGCGCGCCCGAGGACTCAGAGCTCAAAGTCACAGCCGACACCATCAGCGCCAACATGGTGAGCGTCGAGATCCGGCGGGCCGACTCGGACGCCGAGGAGGACGTGTTCCAGCGCCGGTTGCCGCTCGCCATGCGCCTCTCCAAGCTGAAGGTGCTCGTCAACAAGCTACTCCGCGGAAACATTAAGCGTCTCGACCTGAGCTACCGCAGCGTGCAGGTGAGGGGCACCGGGCCACCTTCATAAAGCTGCGCACGCTCGCACAGCGCAAACAGCCACCCGACGGACTTCCTAGTTTCGCCATGCATCCGCCCCCAATCGCGTGGCATGTATCACGGCCTTTCACTGGTTTTGCTTCCACAGCGTGATTTTCTGAGATGGGTCTTCAAGTGTCCTGGCGACCCACGCGCCCCTATCGTATGTGTGTTGGAGCCTGGCCACTGCCCAGACCCAACGCGTGTCCGCGGCACATGGGCGGTGAGCTGCGTCCGCCGAGGTTGGGGATGCCGTCACCAGCCCGGCCTCTGTCCGCAGCGGCCCGACTGGGAGATCGAGATGGACCGCGAGCGTGACCTCAGGTTCTATGGCGTCGAGGAGGGCGACCAGATCATCGCTCGGTATTATTAGTCTGCCATGTGCGTCACCGGCGCACCCGCCGACTCTGGGACCAGTCGCGTCCTCTCACCTCTCCGACCGCAAACCTTTACACTGCCGACTGGGAGGGTCTCAGCCAGGAGTGAGCGGGTACTCGCGGTCGGGGTCGGCGCCCCAATCAGCGGGCCAGCCCGGTCCGACCTGACCCGATAGACAGCACGTGATTCTTCTGTGACTCCGGACGCCGCGCTGCCCGGTGTGATGAGATTCGGTTGGCCGCCTCAGACCTCTAGTTTGATCGCTCGCGTCTATCCCGGGCCGCTGGGCCATCTGCCGTGACGACTCCGTCCCCTCTGCAGCTAACCGGAGGTCAGTGTTCTGTTGTCCACGTGGTGTTTGAATGCTCATGACACAATCGAATTATGCATAAATTATATGTTAACACATTAAGGAAAGTTCGTTGACACCTGACAACGCTCCTTCGGACGGAATGATCGCACAGCTCTTGAAATGTTTTAATGAATGCGGGTTTTAAACCCCATTAACGAGAACGCATCGCGCACGTGTAGCCACAGCAAAATCTCATAACTCGCCTTCGTAACGCACTGAGTCAACGCGGAACAACTGAGTAATCACACGCATAACTACGCCAACACACACTCAAGTGGCATCAACAAGCTCTGAAGGTCTTACAACACCAGTTCGGTGACAACGGGCCCTGCTCCGATAGATCGCACATCAGAGGGCGGTTGCTGCAGCCACGACCACCAGCGCCTAATGGTCACTCGACGGCAGGTGTAGCGCTGTGGGGTGCGCCACTCCGGCCTCGGGGCCGCTACACGCCGCACAGCGGAGTTGTCAGGAGTTGAGCCACGCATGACGCCCGATAACTGACCTGCCGTGTTTCTGGAGGGTATTTGGTGGGCCAACACCACGGCGACGGGTGGACGGGTCAAAGAGCCCCACACAACGTATAAGCACTTAGTCCAGTGATGAACGGCAAACAACCAATCGAACTGAGCGACTTGTGCGGCGATAATAACGCAACAACGCTGATATAACGCAACAACGCTAAACGCTTCCCAACGCCGGCTTTTTCGCCGATGGTCGCCAGGCGAAGCGGTTTTTCCCTTGTACTTTCTGTCTTGACACTTGCTGGATCGACGGCACGCATCTCGGTGGCGCATCAGTCAAACTGTACCGCGCCGACAGGCGGATCAATCTCCAGTAAAACAGCAGCCCGCGGCGCCGTCACATCCGGACGATAAACTTGGCACGCAAATGTGGCTGGCGCATCGGAATGGCGGGCGAACAAGGATCGTAGTGGACACTCATCCTCTGCGCCTCTGCGCAGTCAGAGAATATGTCAGGAACATGTGTCGCATGAGCAGCGAGAGAGAGCGGCGACACAGCACTGCTGGTGCAATGGGGGGAATGTCGGTGTTTCTCCCGTTGGACGGATGTACTGAACCAGCCCGGCCTGCCGGAGCAGCGAGGTTCTCTGGTTCCTGCACCAATCCGCAGCGCTGGTCCGAGTCCGGGACCAGGCCCGGCCGACCCCCGGCGGCGAGGCGCCGGAACGGTCCCCGCTAACACCAGGCGGCGTCCAGCAGGCACTTGCCGCGGAACCAGAGGTGCATCAGCTGATTGGAGGAGGTGAGATTCTGCAGGCCTTGGAGACCGGTACTGGCTTCCTCCCGCGTCTGAAAGGCGGCAGGCCTGGACATGAACCTGGATCGCGAAGACGCGGACCCGCCTCCACCTTGTACCCGCATGGCCTGGGTGGTGACAAGCGAGAAGCGTCGGCCCTGGGCCCGGCTTTCCTCGCACGTCCTTCCAACCAACGACTGGACAGTGCACTGTCGCGCCCTTCATCCCACGCCTCTCCGCTCTGGGTGAACTGTATGGATGACCTTCCGCTGTAGATGAATTGTTCTCCAACTAGAGTATGCATTATAAATACAGCTATCTATTTATCTGATATCATCTACCAGCATTGAAGTCTGTAGCAAGCGCACATTTTGATAAGCTTGCCAGCAAAAGTCATCTTCAGAGCTCCGAAGTTATTTTGGCGCAGCACAAATTGGGTACGACGAAGTTTTGCCCGAAACAGGTTTACGATGAAAATATTTAGAAAAAGACAAGATATTGGTTAGTCGGGGTCACTGACCGTTTGCGCCGGCAGGATGCGTCGGCAGAGGTTGCGGTTAACGTGCTCCAGCAGCGCCTGACGCAGCACCGCCTTCTGGGGTCGCGAGAGGCAGGGCAGGCAGACACGGCAGATGCCTGAACACGACCCCTGCGGGCAGCAACGGGGTCACACCCGGTCTGGACCCGGCAACGCCGGCCGCACGGGCCAGCTGTGACCGCGCCCCGTCGCTGTGGAGGTCCGAGGTCTGGGCCGGTCAGGAGGCGCACTGCGGCGGCGTCCGCAGGGGGCGGTCACCCGACGGTACGGTCATTCCGGGACGCGCTAAATGCTGGCCATCATTCGACCTTGAGTTTCTGTAACACGGGCACGGTCCAGCCCTGACCATCATACCGCCAGACACCGCCGGTCCGGCCGCCGCGCAACGAGATGGGCGCGCATCGAGCATCCGGCTCCTCCTGCGGCGGCCGCGCCAGCCGGCGGCGGCGGCAGCGGCGCGCGCCGCGAGCTCACCAGACAGGCGGAGGAGCCGCACTCCAGACCATACACCGCCAAGTCCTTGTCGGCCGCCTGCATCTCAGCCACCGGACCCGTGCTGGAACGAGCCGGCGGACGCTCAGTGCACAGCCACGTCAACGTGGAGGGGGGGGGGGGGGGGAGGACGAAACAAACTGCTGGGCTACGTGCCGGATGATCTGATGCGTCAGGACCTCGGTATGGAGCGCCAACTACCAGCCACATCGGGTCAACAGTTATCTTCCCTTTCAAAGGAACGCAACGCACGTTGCCGCACACCCTTTATGGAGCACCAGACTGTGGTGGTCGTATGAACACCTAGGGGCCATGGCGCCATTCGAATTCCCGCTCCTAGCGTATAAGCTGAAGACGCCAACCACTGATCCATTGTGCAGCACCCAAACCCGCCATGTCTCCAACAGCTGGCAGCCTATGGGGTGCTACCGGCTCGGTAGTACCACCAGCGGCGGCCCGGCGGGGGCGCGTCTGGTGTCACCAGCCGAGGCCGGACGACCCCGGCCGCGCCAAGCGGTACACAGTCGGACCGGCCACTCACTGCACGCCGGCTAGCTCGGTACGCAGCCGGGAGGCCAGCCCCACCAGACACAGCAGGTTGTACACCACTTGCTCGTACAGCGGCGTGTTCTGCTTGAAGTGGGCCGACGAAAGGTTCGGCGACATATTGGCCTGCCGATTTGGTCAACGTTCATCCGGAGACCGGAAACGCACGCGGATCCGTGCCTCCTCGTGCAAGGAGAACACGCGAACAAGCTGTATTGGCCCAGGGGCAAAGGTCTGATGAACCACCTGACAACGGGTGGCTCGTTATTTGCACACTGCAACGCTAGCAATGACACGATTAATACATTGATCAGTCCAACAAAAACTACGCTGCCAAATAATGTCATTCATTATCCCAACACATAAATCGGGACTCATAACCTGACCCGTGAATGACCAGTGAGCGCGCAGCGTAGCAAAATTCATCCCGTTCGACACCAAGGTGAATATGACCACATGCCCTGAGACCTAGAACCCTGACGCCGTCTCTGTTCCACCGTTCTTCGGCCCCCTTTGAACCCAAACTTTCAAGTCCTGGCCTCCCTGTCCGAGGCACATAGCAACTGGGTCGACCGCCGACATGTGCAGTAATATGACACCACATCCGCCTCCCTGGCACCCCAGTGGCTGAACTTTTCCACACTGTTCGAGCGCAACAAGCCACGGACCTACCTCCATGAGGTAAACATTCAGCTGGTCGTCCACGACGAAGTCGAAGCGCACCATCTCGAAAAACTGACGCGTACTGGCGAACCGCTTCGCCGAGCGAACCATGGCTGCCTCCTTGACGAAGTAGACGGAGCGGATCGACTCCTCGATCTGGTCCCAGATCTTCTGCGGGTCCTTCCCTGTCGGCCGACACGAATGTTACGAGCGGGGCAGGCGCCCCCCCCCCCCCCCCCCCCTGGGCACACTCTGATAGATGGCAGCGGTCATTCTCGTGTCATGCGACCTCACCTCCGGCAGACACCACAAATTCACGTCAGCCACCCACCCGTCCAAAGGCGTCTCTTGCACCGTTTTACAAAAAGCCCTGCACAACGCGTTCTTTCTTCTTTAGACCGAAAACGTTCAGCGTGGCATGCATTGAAAAGCATTACATCACATCGCACAGAACAAATATAAAAACACCGGTGACAATTATGCCCAATCAGCGAACGTCCGCGAGGGTGGACGCGCCCGCGCCACCGCAGCGGCATCGTGCCAGTCTCGAGCGCCCACCCTGCGAGCGGAGGAAGGCGTTGAGCGACTCGCGGTGGCCGAGCTGCAGCTGGCTGTGGTAGCGGCCCAACGAGGGCACCTTCCACACCGGCAGGTAGTTGTCGCCCACCACGTACTTGTCGAGCACGGCCGAGTCGAACGGGTGGTACTTCTCGGCGCAGAACCTGCCGGGCACGCCGGCTAACTGTAACGAGGCCAGCTCCCTGGGCGGGCGGCCCCGTGGCCCCACAGCCGGTCTGCCGCCAGTACCGCTGACACGACAGACTGACGCCGGCCAGCTCCCAGAGCGGCCCCGTGGCCCCACAGCCGGTCTGCCGTCAGTACCGCTGACACGACAGACGCCGGCCAGCTCCCAGAGCGGCCCCGTGGCCCCACAGCCGGTCCGCCGTCAGTACCGCTGACACGACAGGCTAACGCCGGCCAGCTCCCAGGGTGGTCCGTTGCCCCTCAGCCGGTCCACCACCAGCACCGCTGACACGACAGAATGAGGCCGGCCAGCTCCCAGGGCGGCCCGTGGCCCCTCAGCCGGTACGCCAAGTGTTCCGCTAACACGACAGAATGACGCCGGTTGGCTGGGACGCGGGTAAGCAGCGAGAGTGCGGGGACAGTGAGGCTCGCGACGGTCTCATTACGTAAACGGCCGGGGCAAACATGTGACAAAACTGCGGCATTAATCCACATTTTTGGAACATTGCCCGACTCTCTGCACCCTGTTCCGAAACGAGAGGTACATATCTTTCCGAGGGATTTCACACCTGGCCTCAATAGAACAACTGGGTATTAGCAACTGGGCATGGCGTATCACCACGCCCAAGTGCGTGGATATCAGACACCTGAGAAATCACAATCGCACGACGCACAACACTTGATTGACAAAAACCAGCTCTCTCGGTTTCTTGAAAAATGTTCAGTGGCTAAGAGGATATCTTGGACAATAGTGCGTTGCATAAAAATTGCACGCAACATAACTGGATGAAGCTGAAGCTGCCCCGGGGGCTGACCTGAGCAGCACGTCGCCCCAGTAGATATACACTCGCAGCGGGTCCAGTGACGTCATCACTGTGTAGATGCCGATGTCGAATTTGTGGCCGTCGATCAGCAGCGGGTTGCCGATGTACTCCTGGAAGAAGGTGCTGTTGGACTCCAGATCGCTGCCGTCCAGGCTCTTGATCTTGATGTCGCGGTGGCTGTTGGATTTCTGCACGAACAACGTATCCGGGTTGTTCTTGGCCTGTCGAGAAACAGCGATTTGTATGCAATTAATGGTAGAATGGATGGGTTTACTTTCCATAAGCTCTCAGCAACGAAAAAAATATTCTTCGGAGACCGCAAAATTTGGGAGAAACCTGTCGGCGTTCAGTCAGACCTTGGCTCCGGAGTAGTTATGGTGGCAAACGCGTAGACCGGCGTCCACAATAGCGGTATTAACGATAAGCTAATTACGCTACAATGCTAAGCATGCCACTCAACGTTAAACTGATGACGAACTGGCAATTTAGTCACAGAGCTGTTCGATTCTGGAGAAGTTCAGTTACGATGAGTCTCCAGCAAACGGTGATCACATGCCCAGCTGCATTCCCAGATGACCTAGAGGTACCAAAGGTCTTTCGGAATTCGTACTTTTTCACTGGCCCAGTAACTCCCAATTCTGACCGGACACCAGAAATCGTACATTGTAAGCGCCAAATTCGCGCATTTTAACATGACACAAGCTTAATGGAACTGCCTGACCATTGGGAGATGACATGCAAAGCACATCGCAAAAGACATCCAATACATTCCGCCTTTGCGCGTCTTACGTATTCCAGAAGCTGTTCCCGTTCCTTCGGCATTTTGAATGCAGTAGGGATGTGCTTGATTCCACTTGTTGACAGCTCAACCTTGGATGTGATAAATCCGGACCCAGGGAAATGATTAACCTGAAACAGGGCATGGACACGTTACTATGTGGCAATATGGCCCAATGGAAACTGAACATATTAATACTTAGTAGCATAATCACATGCGCATTAACGTGACGTCAAAGCATAGCCACTAGCTGAAGATATAGCAACAGGAAACTTGCAACTCAGCAATGTCTTACTACATGAGCCATGCAGGCGGGTTAAGTGACTGCGACGAGTCTATATGCGCGCTACCTTTACATATGGTCCATAGTCCACACTCGCCCAACCTTCACATTGGCCAACAGTCTTTACTCATTCCGCCTCGAAGCATGTCAATAGTCTATATGTGTTCGACCTTCAAATGTAGGACATGTCTTAAGTAAGTGGTAAAACAGAGAACGGCATGCCATATAGCAAGCTTCCAACAGTCTGAGACTAGTTTTTGGTGCAAAATTAATCAGAATGGTTTCCAAGGGTGGCACTGGGCTCGTAGTACCAGCTGCTGACCAACGCTTGTTCCGTGACCTGACACCAGTAACCAAATTGTGCGTCCAATCCAACGGATAAGTTTGTCTGGGCCCTTTTGCCGACAGAACTGTAAAGGGGCTGACGTGACGCACTCGGCCACTGACGTGACGTCACCTGACGTGGACGTAACGCATGGGGTTCCCCCGGGGAGGGGGGGGGGGACGGAACCGTGCCTCCATACGCGCCAACATGGCAGGCGCACTATGTAACTCGGCAGCATACTAATTTGGCAACGACCCATACCACGCGCCTATTACGTGGCAACAAGCATTCAGCCTCACATCTGGTTACCTTTTGGTTATTCTTCAGTCCCATGAGGGTGGCATTGTACGTGCTGAAAGGATATGGGTGTGACCAGAGCACGTCAAAGCTCTGCTCTGTGCTCCGGACATACCCCAGTCTACTGAATACGTTCAGCACGTGAGTCAGGTATCCAGAGTCGACCTAAAAAAACAGACGGGTATTAGTAGGTTGTAACGGGACACGAGAAGAGACCTGTTCACTGGATACACGCCTGGCAACATGGGTTTTGCTGCACAGGTGTTAGCAATCCAGAAGAGACCATATTTGTGAAGCACCATCTAGCAAAGCAGTGTGAATAACACAAGTCTCAGATGATGATGGTAACTTAGCAGTAACTTGGCAGTAACTTAGTTGGTGGTGACCAAATGCGACAGTATGGGCAGGTAAAAAAAATACGCAAAATGCGCATAGCATTTCATGCTGGGCACATACAAACAAGGTAATGGACACACATGTTACCACAGGGATCTCATCTTCTAAAGTGAGTTGGGTATCCCATTTATCAATATTTTGGGGCCCTTCCTTCCATGCATCACCCTGCCCAAGGTTCCCAGCATGTACAAATGGCAACCTGGTCTCACACATACGCACAAGTTCGCGATCACCAGCGCACTCCCCGTGCTCCATTGCCAGGACATCATAGACCCACCAACGAACATGGTGCACTCACCACAGTAACAGTAACACCGACAGACTGCTGCCACTCACGTTGTTGCCGGCCACCCAGACGCGGCGCACGTCTCCGGCCTCGGCGCGCGCAGCGTCCCCCACCGGCGGGTACTGGCTCTCACGCTGCATGCGGTGCAGCTCGCACACAGTGAGCGTCATCAGCGCCGCAGGCCGACAGCAGCACCGCCAAGCAGACGTACACCGCCGGTGGGTACTGGTTCCACCAGCCGGGGGGATACCGGTACGACCAGCGCTGCAGCAGGAGACAGCCACACAGCTGGGGGTCAGCCATGGCTACTCTCCCAGCTGTCTCCCAGCTTTCACTCTGAGGCTGTGGCTGAAGATCCATTGGGGGCCAGGGCCCAAGGTTCTCAAGAAACCAGCATCATGCCCAATGCTCTTGTTACTGCTGATCCAAATCATATTGCAAAAACAGATGGGTACATGCAATACAAAGCATATCTTCTCACAGGCAGAAAAGATAATGATGAATATTGGTGCCAACAGACTGAAACCAAGCAGTGCATGGTTTAAGATATACATTACTTATGACACAAGGCATCTTGTATGGAATCCATACAGTGCTTACCCTTGACTTTGCCATTTAACCTGTGTTTGAAAAATGAAGGTAAACAATTATTGCATGATATCCTTGTTACTGGTCTTGTTCCATCATCTGTAATGAAAATAAAGGACATAATGATCATCCCAATTACAGTCAGCAGAGCACCAAACCTGTACATCAGGACTTAAGGTCAAACCCCACAAACAAGTTACAATTTTGGTTAGGCTTCTCAGTAATTGCTGAGTGGCTTGGGTATGGGCCAAGTTCCACAAAACAAGCTGGAGGCCAGAGCAAGAAAATTACTTAAACTTTCCCTAAAAGTTGCAAAGGCATGCATTATCTTGTCTTTAGTCCACTCATTTTCCCAAATTTGGGGGACTGGAGCACCCACAATACTTAATAGGATACCAAACACCTGGCCAATGCCTTTAAGATCCAGTCAGATGAGGGAAACATTGGACAAATCTTAAGTATAACATCTGTTTGCTTACAAACAGAGGCAGTGAGGGGGGAATCATTGTGACAGAAAAGATACAACATAGCAATGCTTTGTTATGTCATAACTGTGTGCACCCAAACATGTCAATGTCTTATTAAATATCAGGCATGTTACTTGTAGTTATCAAAGACATCAAATCTTTATCATGTGGATGATGCCAAATGGATAGCAGCCATGGACAATTATTTAAAATTCTTGAACTAATGGCACAATTTTCTTTTATTGCTAGGCATAGAACACTTTTTCTTTATAACTTGGATCTGAACCCTTTGAATGGATGGATTTCTGGGATCAGCACTCATGCTAAGCAGAGCTTGTCATGTGAGCCCTGACCCCCACCATCCCATGGCACAATTCCAAGCAACCCAGAATTGAGTGGCGAAAGCTCAACATGCCACAATGTTTGGCACGGTCCATCCTGCCCTCTGAGGTCAACTGACCTATAGCGCACCACTGCCATCAGCCACAGGCCGTACCTGCCAAGGGCAAATAGGGAGCACCCTAAGGTAGCTCCAACCCACACTGTCATGGGTGGGTAGATCAGAAGGTAGGAGCTCTAACCAACTAAGACTTATGGGATATAACATATGCTGAGAAAAACATCTAGCATTACACAGCCTACTAAGACATTATTTGACAAACATAGGTACCATGCTGCCCACATAAAGACCTATTCAATTAATTATGCAAGGAGTAAAAACAGCTTTTTTATACTAGAGTGACATAATTCAACTAAGAAATACCGCTTTGGTGGAAAAATGAACACTGTCCCTCTCCCAACCATTTACACAAATAAATACCCTTGTAAGCACTAGATCCTTTCAGAAATGATGGGGTTTGCATGGGGTGACATCCATGGGGACAAGCAGACATTTGTACTGCAGTTGCTAAGATAAAGGTCAGGACACAAAGTATCTGACACATACCCCTTACCACAGCACTTCACTGAAAAAGCAATGACAGGATCACCGGACATGGTCACACTTACCTGCAGCAGCCTTCACTGGGTCAAGTTTAGGTGAAAGTACAAAACTGCCCTACTTAGACTGTCATTTGTGGCAACACAATTCATGCATGACGTTCTACTCACGCCCGTCACGCGGCCTCGACCTCGACTAAGGTCGCAAGTCGCGACTGGTGTTTTAAGCACAGCAATTTCTAAATTGCTTTGAAAGACTCGCTGAACGGTGGAGCGAGGTGTATTTGCAAACATGTTAACAAGCTTCCCCAGCGCGGCCTAACATAGTCGTCGGCGCATAACGTAGATTGACCCAAGACCATGCAGCCTGATATGCCTGATAACCCTGATACGCCTGGATAAACCCAAGGCAATTGAACGGATAAACCCGGATAAACCTGACGGTAAGTATGCCAATAGCTCCCGTTCCTCACTGCAGGTTTATGTTCACCGTTGATAGGTACTTACACTGATCTTCAGATAATAATTTATAGAGTCTGGTTGATTTCATCCAAATAATTATCTTACAAAACGAAATTTGTAATGTCAATAAACCTCTCAACCTGTTACAATCATTTGCTCACCGCCCGAGCGCGTCCACCGATGTGGCGTTTTAAACACACGCCAATGAGGAACGCCTGTCGTTCCAAATATGGGCACAAGTAGAATCAGCTGATCGGGCCACATTAGGGCATAGAGGCATTGACCAGGACGGATAATGCAAAGAGGGCGCAGGAATTGCACAATTGAATCTTACTCTTAAAAGTTATTGGAAGTGGTCTGTAGTTAAATACATCATTATCGATCACACTTTCCACAGCAGATCGAGATCTGCCCGTTTGCCGGACATACAAGACTGCCAACAGCGCATCAACCGATGCTATGCGTTACAATGTTGGTGCCGACGGCTTACTTGTAAGCAAACGCACTTCGACGCCTATCAACCAAACTAGGGATGGGCTTGGGTCGTTACGCTATAGGTAAGGAACAGGCTTACCCTCAAGTAGGGAAAATATTTCCATTGGCCTTATTAGGAACGGGGCTCAGACGAAATATCAATTGCTAGCCTGTAGCCCGGTCTAACGGGTGATGGTGTACACGGCGCGGGTGATACAATTATGTGACGTACGCGGTGCCGAAAGGAGGCGGATGGAATTTTGCGATATTTGTTATTAGGTTAGGTGATTCTGTACGGTGGCCAAGCGCGGCCAATGTCCTGTGTGACGCTCATGATTTTCTGTGCTGATTCTAAGGCGGCGGCTGCATTGTATTAGTGAAGGATTATAAAATGTAAGTTACCCATGCTTTGACAAAGCGGTGGTTGAGCCTTATTCCTCGGAGAAAACCAGGAGAATGGAGGTGTAGTGGCGGTGATATTTCGGCAACATGCCTTTATCGAAATAATAGCAGAAATCTATTCTTATCACTTATGCTATTGTTTTGATAATGGCATTTTGCCGAAATATCAACCCAACTATATCTTCATTCTCCTGTTTTTTTTTCTCTGAGGAATAAGGCTAATGCTGCTGTCTATCTATGTGAATAATGTTCCTCACTAATGCACTGAACAAGGTACATTATTACCCATGATTTGTTAATGACTGATGTAAAACCCTGAAGTGCTCCTTATTCATTGGGAAGCCACTCAGCATAAGGAGGAACAATGTGTGAATAACCAAGTTGTGCCATCAAGGACTATGCCAATGGAATCAAATTTCAGTATTTATATGTAAAAGAAGCAATCTTAGGATGAAAATATGCATGCTGTATGCTAATCTTGGATGAAGGCAAGCTATCTCAATAGATACACTTACAGTGACTAAACACAAAATGATGCTTGCAAAAAGTTGCAAAGTGTCCCATTCCATCATTGTGAAGAAGCATTCCAGTTTATTGTGCATAATGGCTGCATGCATCCATGATCTCAGCTATGATACCTAGGTGCAGAATCACTGGTATAGTTGGTGCATAGTTGAACCACAATCATCATCAGCCATAGTGTGCATCACTAGGGACGTCAAATGCCAGTGCAATTGTTTTGTAACTGATTAAGTGGTTAGAAATATCAGAGGTCAAGGAAAAATAGGAGAAAGAAGTATCAGCAATGATGTCAAAAGCAAAGCAAACTATTATCTGTAGAAAGATATATAAGCCTACTAGGACATGCATTATGTATGTGTTTGACACCAAAAATGTCTCCCTACTATTTCTGGTTTCAGAGCAGTGGCCATTCTTTAGGAACCCTGCCCTGCACTCCACCTGGGCAGTGCGAGTGGCAGGCGATAGCAGATGATGCCACAGAACAAGGACACAGGGACACTGTTATATTAAAGGAGCTATGCATCATGAATATATGGTCAGCACCCAAAAGGGTACATCAGATGGTCAGACGTGAATAAAAAACAAGCTTATATAGGTGTTGCTATGGGGTGGCATTGTTATGCAGGAGGTCATAGAGCTGAAAAGTGCATTTTCTGGACATTTTGATATTTGCCCCTGCATGATGGGGTCAATTTTTGACATAGCAGGTAACTCTGTTCCTAACTGCAAAAAGCAAAATCTTGTTGAGACGAATCCACTTTCTGTTCTATCATTCCTAGTGTGCGAGAGGGAGGGGGAAATCACATTGACCCCCTTTCAGGCCACCCTATGAGAAAAAAAACTGCAGATTAGGGCAAGGGTAGAGGACTCGCTATCATGCTCCTGGTGGGGATTCTAAACCAGTTTGTTTTTCCTTTGCTCCATTATAGTCTGTGCACCTTGTCAGTGAACATGGCTGTATATCAAGTTTCTATCACTCTGTAATTGTATAGCAATTTAACATTAATTGCAGAATATGTATGCAATGAACCCTGCATGAGGTAGGTAATATTTATGTGACTTTTAAGTTTTGGGGTTTCTGTTTTTCCAGGGACCTATCTGCATTTTCTGATGAGAAGTTTGATGTGAAGCAATGGGTGGGGCAGGTGTTTGAATCTCCTGAAGCAAAGGAAAACTCGGAAGTAAGTGATTTGGGTCAGAAAGTGTAAAATGTATGCAGTTGGAGGGTAAGACCATTGGGTATTATTCCATAATGGAAGCATGTGTTGGTGGAAAAACTAATGCTAAATGATTGGAGTTGTTGGGGATCCATCAGAATTCAAGATAATTGATTTCTGCAATGCATTAGTTGCCATATGAAAGAGCAGAAACATTTTGAGGCTTGCCAAATGTATGACAGGCTTTAAGTAGCAGGTACTTATCCATTCTTGGCTATAATTTGGTAGTTTGGTTTAGCTTCTGCACTTTTCACAGAGCCATGCAGCAACAGTTGTCATGAAGTTACAGCTTTTCATTCAGGAAGTCAACAGCTCCTTAGATGAAACCAGCCAACAGGTATTGCAATGACTTTGAATAATTTTTGTGTTTTGTATGTTGTGGTCAATGTCATGTTTCATTGTCGTTAATTTTTGGCCTGCTGCACACATTTATGACCCCAGTTTTAATACACCAGGTGCTGAAGTGTCAACAGGTGAGGCAGAGTCTGCTGCGTCCGATGTTTTGTCTGTCAGCTGTGTGTCACCAGGTGCTGCAGAGTCTGCCCCGTTTGGTGCGGGACGTGGAGGCGGTGCGGTCGGAGGCGTCACGTCTGCGCGAGCAGATGAGCGTCGCCAAGGCTGACGTCGTTAAGGTGTGTCTTCCCCTGCGCCGCGTCGGAACAACTGCCGGCGCACCAGCTGGGATGTGGACACTGCAGCCTGTCTGCTTCTGGGGGCGGCCGGGGCGACCCCGCGTTGTGTCCTGGAACTCACTGTTTTTGTTATTTTTGTCGTTTGTCGGCGTGGAAAGCTTAGCCAAAAAAGTTGTAGGAACGGGAGGCAAAAGTCGTCCTGAAAGCTGGCGGAGGAAATTGTACGAACGGAAGAATAAAGCTGGCGGAAGCACTGGGAGTTGGGGCGAAAGATGCATCCCATGCCATATACTTTCCACGTTTCTAGATAACCATGCAGTACCATATCATGCAGTGAATTGTGTTTGGGATTGGTACATTTGGGCGTAAAGTAGAGAGATGGGAGGAAATATTGCTCATTTCTCTAGCATCCGCCAACAAACCAGAAAGCCTTGTGACATGGTGGCTGGAGCGCTGCGGCGGGGCAGCAGTCTGGATCTGGCCGGCCGGCCGGTGCGGCGCGGACTGACGAGCCGCCCGCCGTCGCAGGTGGAGCAGGAGACGGCCCAGTCCATGCGCACGCTCACCCAGCTGGACACGGTCAAGGCGCGCATGGAGCGCACGTGCCAGGCGCTTCGCGAGGCTGACAACTGGACGACGCTCTCGGCCGACGTCGAAGAGGTCCGTAGCCATTCGTGGTCGAGCTCGCGGCGGCGATGGCGGACAGCATCACGTCTCGTTGATGCATGACGTTGCTTGGCTCCATGGCCAAGCAGCGCTAGAAACAGATAATGATCAGGAGAGGAAAGGGTTCTCCGGGTGGACGTCGCGAGTGATCTAATGTGGAGCGTTTTAACGTCACATTGCCTGGATCACATTTGTTCGTGCCGTTTGGTTTGCAGGGGTGTGGTTGGTCTGGAGGTCTGGCTGAGAGACCATCTTGGTCCCTGATCAGTCGTTTGAGAGCCAGACGGCTGGTCCGCCCGCAGGTGGCTTCAGCTTGTCGCCGAGCGGCAGTCGCGCTCCGTCCGCTGCCGCTCGTGGGTGACGGGGTCCATTACCAGGCGCTCGACAGCCAGGTCTGGTCCGCGCGCAGGTGTTCGAGAGCGGCAGCCTGCAGCAGATGGCCTCCAAGGTGGCGGCGCTGCAGCAGAGTTTGGCCGTGTTGGCGCACGTGTCCGACTACGAGGAGCGCCGTCAGACGCTCGAGGACCACCGCAACCGGCTGGAGGCCACCGTCAGCCCGCACCTCGTGTCGGCCATCTCGGCCGGCGATGTCGGTGAGAGACGCCGGCTCAGCCCAGCGCAGCCCGCGAAGGCTGTTGTTATCACAGAGCTGATGAGACCCGCGCAGGTGCAGTGGTGATCCAGCATCCCAGGTGTCATCACGACGTTGTTTGCTGTTTCTGACCGACTAGTGCTACCGTGTGTCCGTCCCTGGGCGGGTGACATCACTGCAGGTGCCCCGTTCCTTCAGTAGTATGTCGCTTCCAAACGTCGCCAGAATCGGCACGGCTCAGTGTGTTGCCCACGCACACTGCATTGTGCCGCATTCCGTCCCGTAGGCCGCTCCCAGAGCCCGGGTGCCGGCCAGGTGCTCCCTCCGTGTGCGCCCCGTCCTGTCCCTACACACGGCCGGCCGCCGTACTGAACCGGCCCTGACCATGAGCCTGACCGTCTGACCGGCGCCAGCCCGCAGCCAGGAGCTGGTGGAGGTGTTCCGCCAGATGGGTCGGCTGCCGCAGCTGGAGAAGTACTACGTGCGCTGTCAGCGCGGCGAGCTGCAGCAGAGTTGGGCGGCGCAGCTCGAGGCGCGTCAGGAGGAGGGCGTGCTCGAGTGGCTGTCCGCCTTCTCCGACACGCTGGTGGACACCTGGCATTCGCAGGTGCGAACGTTGACGTCTGGCGGGGTTGGGGGAGGGAGGAGGGTGGGGGGTTCGGAGATGGCATGGTCGAGTGAGATGTTTCGCATGTCTGGATATCTGGGGCGCTGAGGTTAAGGGGCCTTCGGGACTGGATTCTCTATAAGTACGTAGATAACGAAGTAGCATTGTCCATTCAGCGTCATGTTGGACGCCGTTTGACGGGCTGAAGAAGCCGTTGCTTGCAAAGCTGTAAAAAACGCATTCATCATTAAACATGTATCGCCATCATCACGGACTGATGTGTCATCACCGTCCGATGCGTCAGCATCTTCATCGCCTTTCCCATCAAAGCTCATTTTGCGCGCGCGAGACACACGTATGTATTTTGTCATGTCCAGCAAGGCTGGTGGTAGTCGAAGGAGCGCCGACGGCCGTGTGGCCCGCGCCTGCAGCCGCCGAGATCTGACGTCGCCCGTCCTGCCGCAGACACGCTGGTTGGAGCAGGTGCTGCCCCACCTGTCGCCGGTCAACACGCTCTGCTGCGTGCTGGCCGACACGCTGCATGCCCTGCAGCCCAGCGTCGCCACCTGTCTGGGTAGGTGCTCCGTGCGACAGAGACTGGGGCCTTGTCTGGGCCCTGTCTGCCAGGGACTAGGATGGGCGTCTGTCTGGGTAGGTGTTTCGTCCGACAGAGACTGGGACCCTGTCTGCCAGGGACTGGGATGGGCCACTGGGTGGGCACGCCGTTGGAGGGATGTGTGGTCCCCACGTCCCGACAGTTGATGCTCCCGAGAGACCCGACCGTCCTTGTCGAGCGGACCGAGGTCTCCCCTCCGAGCCTGGTGTCGCGTTAGGGTTTAGGTGGGTTGTGTAGTCTGCTGAGAGACTGAATGAACCCATGAAACTGCTGTTCAGTTTGCGTGCAGTCTGATGAATAATGGAATGATCGCCGTGAATGCTCTCAGCAAAGGCTTCGAAGGCCGTTAGAGAATTTGTAAAACATGGATCTCATATCTGAGCTCTACTGAAGTGGTTTGGCCTGTGATATTGTATTGCTGTGTTTATGAACAGCGGTGTTAATGCCCAGTGCTGAGCGTCACCTGCTCGTCTGTTCAGAAACGGCTGCCAAGGAGCACTCTGACCCGCTGCAGCTGCTGGAGGACTGCAAGCGTGTGACGGACCGGCTGATCGGCACGCTCCTGCTGGCGGCCGACCTGCCCTCAGGTCAGCCTGCGGCCGGCCGCCGTCTCACCGGGCCAGCTTCCGCGCTAGTTCATGGAATATTTCTTGTGATCACACAGATCCGTTTTTGTTTGACCGTACGGTTCTCTTAGGTCGGCTGTTACAGCTCACTCAACTGTCGACAAAGCGGCCTGGGACGCCATGTAGTACTCGTGTTTTCAGACTTGGTTGTCACTTAGCCAGGCAATACGGAGGGCTCTGGCGTCTCGCCGCACCGCCGCGTGTCCCACTCGCTTTGTTCGCTGCGCTCCCCGCAACCCTCCACGCGCTGTAGCGGCCGGCCTCGTTGGTCGGGGCTGACACGCCGCAGCTTCAGCGCACACGGCAGTGGGCTCACAGCAGCGGCGAGCCGCCAGTCCTCTGTCGTCATGGTCGTGTGACGTCACCACTCTCTTCTATAGCCCGGTGTGACTGGGCGGACGCCGTGCGCGCAGGCTCGAGCGCGGAGGCCCCGGCGGCCGCGGCTCTGGTGAGGGCCGCCTACGAGCCGTACGTCACCCATCTGCAGCGGTACGGCCGCTACCAGGAGCAGCTGCTCGTGCTGGCCATACAGGCGCTCGGTGAGACGGCCACGCGGTGTGGCTCGCCGGAGGCGCTGCGGCCAAAACAGTGGGCGTGGGGTCATGTGTCACGTCCTAACCCCCCTGCATCTCTCCCCCCCCCCTCCCCCAGTGGAAGGCCGGAAGCGCCGCTCCCTGGGTGTAGCGTTGATGATGTGAGTTTGTTCTGACGAACGGTTCTACTGGTGGACTATTGTAATGTTTTCAAGGCTATGAATGGCACTTAACTAACAGTTATGAATCCTTCTTGTGGATGATTTCCACGTGCTGGGGTTTGCCTCTTCAATGTATGCTGATCGTTTTGGTGATTATTGAGGTATACAAATAAGGCTTGTACAAACGTACAAATAAGGCTTGTAAGGCTTATACAAATGAGTTGGCGCGAATTGACTGAGCATGGCATGGAGAGCTTTGCATAAATGTTGTATTCAGGACGTGTCCGGTTGTCGCCAAAAAGAACAAAGCCATACCTATGGTTTCCTGTGTTGTGTAAAGCGCGGATCGTTGCAGCAGAGGACCAGCGGACCTTAAGGCTGCCTGGCAACTTCCCGATCTGGAGGAATATTCTTACAAATGATTGATGAATGAGGAATATTCTTACAAACATTAAACGTCTGTGCACGCCACGTTCCTCACGAACTTCCCATAAGTCAGAAAACGTCATGGGAGTGTCACATCTTACACAAAAGTCAGCGGGGGCCAATTGGTCAATGGCCAAGCTGACGAAAGATGCCGTCAGCATCGCAATATTGCCATGTTGCAGAAGTTAAGCCCTTCGCGTCAACGACTGTCGTGTCTCGACTGCTCACCATGATCGTGTGAGTGTCGCGGACGCACCTGTCCGACCGTGTGGCAGCTCACCGCCCATCACGCGTACAGATCACTGGTGCGCCCGCAACGTTGCGTCGCGTGGTGCGTGTGGTGGCCACCGGCGGACGGCCGGCGTGCGGTCGGCGGGTGTTCTCTCTGTCACTCTAGGGTCACGCGCCGGCGCGGTGCGCGCGCCGGGACGGAGCGCCGCGCTGAGGTACTGGCGGTGACCTAGAATGGTCACGTGACTCACCATGACCGAGAGCGGTCACGTGACTGGCCGTGACCGAGAACGGTCCTGATCGCCACAGTGCCGACCAGCGCTGATCTGCAAGAGAGGGTGGACGCGGTGGGCTCGTCGGTCAGCAGGCTGATGACGCTGCTTCACTCAGCGCTCGATAGATGTCTCTCGTTCACGTACGGATACTGCTTACCTCAGCTGTTGGACGCCTTCAAGGTGAGATGTTGCCCTCTGCACATGCGGATGCCCTTTCAGTGTGTATGTTGGACATGCCAAGCTTGCTGGTCTGTGTTTTTTTTTTTGCAGGTGGCCTTGCCTAAATGATATAAGAACACTTGAGGATGTTTTTAGCGTGCACAGAAAGCAATGATACTTAAGCATACTGGCGCTAATTGCACGGGAAATGTAATCCTGGCGTGAAATGCCGCTGAGATCGCGTAGCCAAGTACGGACACACGCCACGGGCTGTCCCGTTCGTGCCCCGTTCACGGGCTGGAGCCAGGCTGCCTGGCGTCCGCATCGATAAGGTTACTCGTACGCCGCCCCGTCACGTCGAACTCGATCCTGGGTGGCGACGCCCTCGCATCCCGGCGCCCGCCCCGACGGCATGCGGTGAGACCTCCGTGTATCCGACAACGGCTGCGCCTCTCCGCCTGCCGTCGGCACCCGCCTGACCGACTGCGCCTCTCCGCCCTCTGCAGTGCGCCTTCGAGACGTACCTGTCGAGCGTGAGCGCGGCCGCGCGCCAGTTGGGCGCCCAGCCCGCCTCCGGCTCCGACTGGACCGTGTTCCACGCCAGCGTCCGGCTGCTGCAGGCCATAGGTAGGCGACGGCGGGCCGCCCGGCGCCCGAGCAGGCCGCCAATGGGCGCCCGGCGTCAGTGTGCGGACTGTCGTGTGGAGCCGCAGTGTGTGGCTGCCCTGCATGTTGACTGATGTGTGGACAGTGTTGTGAGCGGGGTCCAGTCCGTCCGGCTGTGCGGGCGGTGTTTTGAGGGGGGTCCAGTCCGTCCGGCTGTGCGGGCGGTGTTGTGAGCGGGGTCCAGTCCGTCCGGCTGTGCGGGCGGTGTTTTGAGGGGGTCCAGTCCGTCCGGCTGTACGGCTGTTGAGGGTTCCAGTCCCGGCTGGCGGGCGGTTTGTGAGGGGGTCCAGTCCGTCCGGCTGTGCGGGCGGTTTTGTGAGCGGGGTCCAGTCCGTCCGGCTGTGCGGGCGGTTTTGTGAGCGGGGTCCAGTCCGTCCGGCTGTGCGGGCGGTGTTGTGAGCGGGGTCCAGTCCGTCCGGCTGTGCGGGCGGTGTTGTGAGCGGGGTCCAGTCCGTCCGGCTGTGCGGGCGGTGTTGTGAGCGGGGTCCAGTCCGTCCGGCTGTGCGGGCGGTGTTGTGAGCGGGGTCCAGTCCGTCCGGCGCGGGATGACGTCATCTGTGATTCGGCTCCGGAGCGGCGGGCCCCCGCGGTGGCCGTTAGACACGGCAGGCGCCGGGCTGCGCTGACGGGTCCACCACCGCCGCCACCTCCGCAGGGGACCTGATGACGCAGACGGACCGGCTGGAGCTGCGCGTGGTGACGGCGCTGACGCAGCCGCCGGCCGCCGTGCCCGCCCACCTCGGACCGAACCTGCTGCTGCCGGCCGATCAGCAGCAGCGCTACGGCCTACTGGTGGACCAGGTGGCCGACGGTGAGTGGCGAGACGAGAGGCAAGCAGGCCTCACGTGCTCGTGTGGCAGCTCAGTGTAATGTCTTCTGCCCGTGTACCTCTGCGGTAATGTGTTGGGGCTATGTACCTATTGGCCTGATGCAGAGACAGTATTGAAGTGACTTGAAACTATTCGGCATCTAGTAGAGTATTTAACTAATATGAATGACCAGATGCTGATGTACCGAGCTTCTCACTCCACATCGGCTTGTCCTGTGAGCTGGTGGCCTGAACAGCATGGCTTACGCCGGTGCGGCCGCTGACGTCAGGCTCGCGCCTCAGGCGACACTGTCACCTTGCTGGAGCCGTGCCACCGTGTGCTGGACACCACCAATGAAGAGGTGCAGCGCGTGGCCTTCTACGCCATGTTCTCGCCGATCCAGAGCCAGCTGCGGGCGCTGGAGGCGGCCGATTGGGAGGGCCGCGGCCCCGGCGGCTCGCTCTCGGCCGACCTGCCAGACTTCAGCTACACACCGCAGGAGTATATCACCCAGGTGGGTAGGTGTGGAGGGCACCACCCGGCCGGGTCGTCCCGTGGGGGCGCATCCCCAGGCGAGTCACCCCGCGGCAGTACATTCCGGGATGACTCACCCCATTGGAATACACCTCCCTGGTGAGCTGGCTCTTTTGTTTGGGCCTTTTTCATTCTGTATGATTTACGCTATGCCATATGCCTTTCCTCGAGCGGAATATCCAGTTGTTGCTTTAGTGTAAGGCTTATAATGCTTAGGTTATGCTGCTAACGCGTGGAAGAAATTTCACAGAAAGTCCATTCATAAACTACATAACGGGCAGACGGCATGGGCGATGACAAAGCGCTACATGCTTTCACAGAAATTGCGCAGGAAGGCCTGTCATAAATTATGTCGGGAAAGGTGAGGACTAATCGTGACATGCTTTTACAGGAGGAGAGTGCAGTGGGGGCTTTCGGTCACATAACGTATTATTCAACCAGCGAGTGAGACACTTTCGTTCATAAGACTAGCGCTCGTGGTAACCAAAACGTTCCAGTCACCAATGTTCTCTGCTGTCATATTTAGTTGCTCGCAACCGGTATGCGTGAGGTTGAACACCATGTGCCTTTAAAACAATATTTCCATTACGCCATTGGACGTTGACACCAGTCAGAACGTCACATCTTTTGCAGGCTAGCTGCCTTGCTCGTGTCTAAAAGGCATGAACCTGAACTTAGAAAAAGATCGAAATGAAGCATATGGACGTCTGACATGCGAGTGAGAAATCCAAATTGAACGCCGTCGCTGAAGTTGCGCGGCTTCTGGGGGAAGAGAGTGATGTGGGTGTGCTCATCTTCCGCGCAGTAATTTTATGCATGCGTGTGTGCTGTATGTTAAATAAGATGATCTAGGGCAAAGCGAGCGGAACAAAACACAGAAGATATAGCCCCCTGATTACGTTGGAGGGCCATATTGTTGTCATTAGGTTCGCAGTGACATTGGGCCAAATGCGTTTTCGTGGTAGATACTTGATTTTTCACCCGATTAAAGGCAGCGTGCTTAATGTCAGTTATTATTCTCAATATGAGATCTGATCTTAATGCTGCTAAAATCCTGTTCTTCAAAAGAGGGATCACCCCGGTAAAAATAACTTGCTGACAGTAAATGGAGCTTGGCGTCAGCCGTCTCACCTCAAGCGTCTCCACATGCAGTTGCATGTCTCATAGCTTAACCGGATTCGAGTTCACCCCCACGCTTCAGCAAGGCAATGTTGTCAATATTTGTCTCGAGCCATGCATGTTCCTCTAACAGACTGGCCAGTATTCGGAATTTACCCCCTTCAGTCTTTGGGTCTGTATCTCGGTTTAGTGATGGTGCCCCAGTTCACGCCGCACCTCGGCCAGCCGAGCAGCGGCGCCAGATGGCACGGGCTCGACACGACGCCGCCGGCGTTGAGCAGCTGGTGTGCGTGTGTGGCTTCCAGAGGCGTGCACACAGATCAGCACCCGGGTCCGGGGGGGGGGGGGGGGGCATGCGGGCTCGACACGACGCCGCTAACGGTGGGCAGCTGGTGTGCGTGTGTGGCTTCCAGAGGCGTGCACACAGATCGGCACCCGGGTCCGGGAGGGGGGGGGGGGGGGGGAAGGGGGCATACGGGCTCGACACGACGCCGCTGACGGTGGGCAGCTGGTGTGCGTGTGTGGCTTCCAGGGGCGCGCACACAGATCAGCACCCGGGTCCGGGAGCATACGCCCCTTTACCAAATGTATGACCATTAGCATGCAGGCGGCTAAATGATAATAAATGATACAAATTCGGAGCACAGACTCAAAATAACACGTTCGATAGTGTACTACGTTATTTCACGACATGAATCAGATTGCCCGCGCCTGCGGTGCACTAAACTCGGTTTTGAGTGAAAAGACCTGAGTTGCCCCACCCCACGAATTGAGGTCTTTCCAGCCCGCGGTGACCATGATTGCGGGGTCATGGAGTTACGGGGAGTGGTGAGTGGCCGCCTGAAAGTTCTCGGCTATCGTGACTTATTCGGCGAAGGGAACTTGGACTATGTGTGTGCGTGAATATATATATATATATATATATATATATATACATATATATATATATATGTATATATATACATATATATATGTGTATATATATATATGTGTATATATATATATATATATATATATATATATATATATATATATGGGTCGTTGGAGCTATGTGCTGCCGTTCGTGTGAGGCCCGCACCGGGAGGCGCCGGCGCCCGCCCACGGTCAAGGTACGCAGCTAACCCCAGAGAGGTGCGGGAATTCGGGAGGAAGCGGTGAACGGGGAAAGAAGGACAAATGTGAGACCAGGGGCCGCCGTAGGTAGACGCGCGTGGTCAGTCGCCGCAGAACTCGGATCGTCGTCCCACCCAGGTCTCAGGGGTGTCCATTGGTTTGTTCCGTTTTGTTTCGTATGACCCCACGAGTGTTTAAGTTGGCACGTCTTGTCATTCACGCTGTCGATGAGATACCCGCCCTGTTTTGAACATTGCTTCGTATTTTAAAACATTTTTGCCGTATGTTGAGATATTTTGCCCTATTTTGAAAGAAAGATCATATGAATGGGTTCGGTGTCGTGACTGAATTATCTGCACCCGGAAATCAAGGAAAAGCGCGGCTGAATGAGTTTTCTGGTAAACAAGTTTGGACTTTTGCTGGAAATTTCACGTTTTCTGTTCTGTGGTTCAAAATAAAGTTTCTTCTAGTTTCTTCCGAATTGTTTCAAGGCTTCCAACGGCACTTTTAATCTAATTCGGAACGCTCACAATCGTGTTGTCTGTGATTTAAGGTCATTCTTGGCGCGTAATAAGGATGGGCGGATTCCATAAATTCCTTCAGGGCATGAGGTGTGCAGGATTTGTGGCGGTGCCGTGTCATCTGTGGACGACACTTCCGATGCTGTCGTTGCTAGAGACATCTATCAGCGTCGGCTCTGTCAACTCCGGTGACTACTTCCCGTGCTTTAGCAGCGCTTAACGTCCCGTTTCCCTGAGCTGGTCTGCTTCCGTTCAGCCAGCCCGCCTCGCGGCCAGCCCACCTGTGAGTGTACGTGGTGACGTCCGTCCCCGCCCCCGCCCCCGCCATAGGTGGGCCAGTACTTGATGACGCTGCCTCAGCACCTGGAGCCCTTCATGGCGCAGAACGACCCCACGCTGGGCCGCGCCCTCCAGACGGGCGTCATGCCGTACAGGTGGGTGGATGGCACCGAAACGCACCCTCTGTGGTCCGGCTGTGGTACTCCTCGCGCGCCGACGACTGAGAGGCTTCACTTAGGCCGCTGTCGGCCGTGCAAATGTTCCGATAAGAGTTCCAGATGCTTTGTGCCAAAATGTAGCTAGGAGCATGGTGGATGGTGCTTCTTTCTGCCGATTGGCGTGCTGTCCATATGGTAGTCATTTACTTCGGGTAAACTTTTCATTGTGCAATGTGCAGCATGGTCGTGCCAACTGTGCATACAAGTATGTGACGACCACCTTTCCGATCAACCCTATCCCATATCCGTGGCCTCCGCCGCCAAATGGAAGGGCCCGCACATGGCCCGCTCCCGACCCGGGGTGCCAGCATCCACCCTTCCCCCACCGGCCGTCCCTGATCGGTGCCCCTGACCGTAGCCCCCCCCCCCCCTTCCCCGCCTCCAGCTCGGACGTGGCCGGCGGCCGCAGTGAGTCGGAGTCGGGCGTGGTACACTACATCATTAGCTGCCTGTCGGAGGGCGCCTGCCAGGTGTACGCCGACCAGATCGTGCAGATCCAGCGCATCACACCCGGCATGACCCGACAACTGGTCGCCGACATTGGTGAGCGCTCCAGCCCAGCCAGCGCCAGCGCCTCCCGAATATGGGGCAGGACCGGGCTCCGGGACGTTTCTCCCACCCTGCAGTGTCATGAATCGCAGCGATGGCGGGTCATTTTGCAGCCGGAACAGCATGTTCTTCATGAGTGGCAACCTGCCGCCTGCCGTGCTGTAAAAGGTTGAACAAATTTTTCGGGGTATAGCGCTACAGAGATCGAAATGTGTCCAATTCATTGGCAATGGGTAACAGTAACGGCTCTTTGCTCGTGTCAGTCTGCGACAATGAGCACCAGTCGGCTGTCTTGTCCGAGAGGTGGCAACGCTGGGCCGAATGAGATGGTCATCGGGCGCCAGACGGGAGACAAGCCTGCCCGCCGTGCGTGGTATGGTCAGAGTGGCGCCAGACGGGAGACAGGCCTGCCCACCGTGCGTGGTATGGTCAGAGCGGCGCCAGACGGGAGACAGGCCTGCCCACCGTGCGTGGTATGGTCAGAGCGGCGCCAGACGGGAGACAGGCCTGCCCACCGTGCGTGGTATGGTCAGAGCGGCGCCAGACGGGAGACAGGCCTGCCCACCGTGCGTGGTATGGTCAGAGCGGCGCGCCAGACGGGAGACAGGCCTGCCCACCGTGCGTGGTATGGTCAGAGCGGCGCCAGACGGGAGACAGGCCTGCCCACCGTGCGTGGTATGATCAGAGCGGCGCCAGACGGGAGACAGGCCTGCCCACCGTGCGTGGTATGGTCAGAGCGGCGCCAGACGGGAGACAGACCTGTCCACCGTGCGTGGTATGGTCAGAGCGGCGCCACGCACCGAGCTAAGCTCGTCTGGCCGGTCGTGACCGGTGCCGTCAGCCGAGCCAGAGGTCACTTCCACGGCGGGTGTCGGCGGCTGTCCTGCCGCTTCAGCGGGCGTCTGAGCCGGATCTCTGCTCCCCCCCCCCCTCCCCCCCAATCTGGCCCTCCCCGTGAGCGTTTTCCTGGCCATCCCGGCCGGGGTCCCCGCGCTGGCGCCAGCTGACGCCCCGCCCCGCCCTACCATCAGACTACCTCGGTAACGTGCTGGACGACCTGGGCCTGCGGCTGGCCGAGGTGCTGCACGCCCTGCGCACGCTGCTCCGCTGCCCAGCCGCCGAGTACGCGCGCCTGAGCGGCGGCGGCGGCGGCGGCGGCGCAGGCGGCGCGGCCAGCCGGCCGACGCTGCCGCCCCGCCTGGTGGCCGCCGTTCGCCAGATGCGCGCCCTGGTGGCAGAGTCGTGAAGTGTTTGTGAGTGAGCGCTGGAGGCTGCCCGGCCGTGCGCGCGACGCCGCCTTCCGGCCAATGACAGGCGCCGGTGAGGAGGGGCGCGCGCCGCCGGACTGACCACCGCCCCAGCCGTCCTGACCAGTCCCGGGCGAGGGTCGGTTGCAGGCCAGATGGCAGGCATGTGGCGCGTGCTGTACGTGTGTTGAGTTGCCGCCGACTCTGTATTTGTTGAGGTGTTGGCGCGTGTTTTGATACAGGGATCGGAGAACGGGAAGTCACATTGATCGTCATACACCATTCCGGTATGTGCGTAAGAAATGCTTCATTTTCTTAGCTGACGGGCGGAAGTTTGATTTGTGGGTGTTGCGATGCTAATATAAACTTTCTTTTGGTTGTGTTGTGCAAAAAGTTGATGATGGCATAAGCCAGCTGTTGGCTAGCGTTTTTTTACGTATAAATAATACCATGCTCTGGTATTTATTTCCACTCCATTGTCTTAGAGCCCGTTGCACTGTCTTCTTCGCGTGCAGCCAAGCTCTGGGTGAAGATAGCAGGCCATGCTTGTTATTTGTGTCGAGTGACTGTCTCAATATATTTTTAAGCAGCACATGCCGAAGCGATCAGTACTTTATGTGCATTAGCCTCACCGGTCATTGGCCTCGCGGGTCGTTAGTATTTGCTAACGCCACTTCAGGTGTCATTTGTGCCTATCTGCCTAGGTACGGTATCTGCCCAAGGTGATGACACTGGCATTGCGTGGACGCATGTGCAGTGCATAAATCCCACGCGTTTGTGCATGTCGCACCGACGCATATATCACGTATACGAACAGAATATAATGGCGATGGAAGCGTTCTCGCCTCCACACGGACACCTCGCTGAACGCACGCTGCTTTACCAGCGCGCGCCTCCGACCGAGCTCTGGAGGAGCCACCTTCGTCTACCTCACACACCTACACCCGGCCAATACGCGAGGAACCCTCGCGGGTCCAGCTCCAACCAGGGAGCGTGTCGCCCGCGCCGACCTCCGCAGCTCCGACGGCTGCGAACCCGAGGCGATCAGTCTGACCACGCGGCGCCGATGCATGCCTGGCGGCTCCGCTCGCTAACGTCGGCCTCGGAAGGAGCCGGACGGCCGGCGGCTGGCGCCCAGCTGGACGCCGGTCAGCATCGACTTGTATTCTGGTGTCGGCAGCGTGAGGAGCCGGACGGCCGGCGCCTGGCGCCCAGCTAGACGCCAGTCAACATCGACTTGTACTCGGGCGTCGGCAGCGTGAGGAGCCGGACGGCCGGCGCCTGGCGCCCAGCTGGACGCCAGTCAGCATCGACTTGTGCTCGGGCGTCGGCAGCGTGAGGAGCCGGACGGCCGGCGGCTGGCGCCCAGCTAGACGCCAGTCAACATCGACTTGTACTCGGGCGTCGGCAGCGTGAGGAGCCGGACGGCCGGCGGCTGGCGCCCAGCTGGACGCGGGTTAGCATCGACTTGTACTCGGGCGTCGGCAGCGTGAGGAGCCGGACGGCCGGCGGCTGGCGCCCAGCTAGACGCCAGTCAGCATCGACTTGTATTCTGGTGTTGGCAGCGTGTACATGATCTTGGAGTGAGCGATGTTCTTGGCGTCGTGCCAGTCGAGCTCGCCCTGGATGCTGTGCCGCAGCCAGAACGTCATGACGAACTCGGACACCTCCTCGAACCAGACCTGCGACACGCGCGGCGTCACGAACAGACCTAGTGCGGACTGAGCTGCAGGCCTGTCCCGTTCACAACATGCTACGGTTCGTGCAATAGATCGCGACGAATGACGAGGAGTCAACAAATCGTGACGAATGACGAGGAGTCAGTAGATCGCGACGAATGACGAGGAGTCAGTAGATCGCGACGAATGACGAGGAGTACCGGGCCCCACTAGATTAGTGTGCCTCAGCTCCTTTGCTAAATGTATTACAAGAACACTCCTCCTCTAAGTGTGCTCAAATATGCGTATTGTTCTTTAACATACGTCCATTCCTGACAGTTACAACGACCCATGGCAATTTTGCCGGCGAGTCCTAATCGATTTTTGAAATGGCGAATGCAGCTTCCCCCGCTCCCAAGAAACAAGGCAGGTATGAACTGGCATCATTGGCGAGAAGGTATCTGCGGTCGGCCAAGCACTGGCGCTTTGTTGAATGGCTGGCTCCGCCGCCACCCGTGGCTGCACGACAGGGCGGCGCCGCCACAGAGCACGTACGTAGAGCGAGTGTTTGGCCCACTCGCGGTCTACGTTGTTGCACAGCTTGTCTGCCAGCAGAACGGCCTCCTTCAGCAGCCGGAACGCCTTGTCCGTCTTGCCGGTGAACATGCAGAAGTAGGCGCGCATGTGCAGGTATCTGGAAAGCCAGTACAGCCCTACATGGGGGACGGCATCCGTGGAATTTTGCGGCAGTCCTGGTACACTGCCGCCGGATTTTAGGCGCGCTGGTTCGGTGTTCGTTGCAAATCACGCAAAAGGATGGGAAGCTGCCGACTGCTGTGTGTGATTCTCTGCTGCGCTGCGTTTCTAAAGCGCTCCACACTCGGGCTGCGTTGAAGACGCCGCCTCCCACAGCCACTGACCTGGGTCTGAACACCTTGTGGAACTCGACGGCCTTCTCGAGCTCCTTGAGGTACTGCCGCACCACTGGCTCATCCTTCTCCGTCTCCTCGTACAGTTGCTCCACAATGGTTTCACAGAGCCGGATCAGGCGCGTCTCCAGCAGCTTACAGAGGCCATGTACGCTCACCAGGCAGCGGGCCTTCACCGGCTTGGCCTGGCAACACAGGGGCGAGGCTGAGTCACGGTGCCGCGAAAGGTCGCCGGGGCGCACCTGGGCACACGGCGGCCCAGCTACGGTGCCGCGGGAGGTCGCCGGGGCGCACCTGGGCACACGGCGGCCCAGCTACGGTGCCGCGGGAGGTCGCGGGGGCGCACCTGGGCACACGGCGGCCCAGGTACGGTGCTGCGAAGGGTCGCCGGTGTGCACCTGGGCACACGGCGGCCCAGCTACGGTGCCGCGAAAGGTCGCCGGTGTGCACCTGGGCACACGGCGGCCCAGTCACGGTGCCGCGAAAGGTCGCCGGTGTGCACCTGGGCACACGGCGGCCCAGCTACGGTGCCGCGAAAGGTCGCCGGTGTGCACCTGGGCACACGGCGGCCCAGCCACGGTGCCACCGAGGGTTGCCGGGGCACACCTGGGCACACGGCGGCCCAGCCACGGTGCCGCCGAGGGTTGCCGGGGCACACCTGGGCACACGGCGGCCCAGCCACGGTGCCGCCGAGGGTTGCCGGGGCACACCTGGGCACACGGCGGCCCAGCTACGGTGCCGCGAAAGGTCGCCGGGGCACACCTGGGCACACGGCGGCCCAGTCACGGTGCCGCCGAGCGTCGCCGGGGCACACTTGGGCACGGCGCGTTGTAGCACCTAATCCATAATCCCGCATAGCACCTTATCCCACCGCTGTACCGGCTCTTTCCTTATATACGCTGACGCCCCACACCCGCATCGTGCGATGCGTGCTAGCTGAGAGGCATTCGTTCGTGACGCACCTCCTCGGCTACGGCGATCCAGCGGTCGCACTCGACCCAGGAGTCGGTGCGTGCGTACCAGACGGCCAGCGTGGCCGCTGCGTAGAACTGCACCTCGCGGTCGGTGCTGACGGACGGGTCCAAGTACGTCTCCGTCACGTACACCACGCACGTCCCGATGTCCTCGATACTGAACCTGGAGCCCACAGAGACGTCGGATCGTCACCGGAGCCGTCAGCAGCGCCAGGGCCGTCACCAGCGCCAGGGCCTTCACCAGCGCCGGGATCGTCACCAGTGCCAGGGCCGTCACCGGAGCCGTCACCAGCGCCGGGGCCGTCACCAGCGCCAGGGCCGTCACCGGAGCCGTCAGCAGCGCCGGGGCCGTCACCGGAGCCGTCAGCAGCGCCGGGGCCGTCACCGGAGCCGTCAGCAGCGCCAGGGCCGTCACCGGAGCCGTTACCAGCGCCAGGGCCGTCACCAGCGCCAGGGCCGTCACCGGAGCCGTCACCAGCGCCGGGGCCGTCACCAGCGCCAGGGCCGTCACCGGAGCCGTCAGCAGCGCCAGGGCCGTCACCGGAGCCGTTACCAGCGCCAGGGCCGTCACCAGCGCCAGGGCCGTCACCGGAGCCGTTACCAGCGCCAGGGCCGTCACCGGAGCCGTCACCAGCGCCAGGGCCGTCACCGGAGCCGTCAGCAGCGCCAGGGCCGTCAGCAGCGCCAGGGCCGTCACCAGCACCGGGGCCGTCACCAGCGCCAGGGCCGTCACCGGAGCTGTCAGCAGCGCCAGGGCCGTCACCGGAGCCGTTACCAGCGCCAGGGCCGTCACCAGCGCCAGGGCCGTCACCGGAGCCGTTACCAGCGCCAGGGCCGTCACCGGAGCCGCCACCAGCGCCGGGGCCGTCACCAGCGCCAGGGCCGTCACCAGCGCCAGGGCCGTCACCGGCGCCGTCAGCAGCGCCAGGGCCGTCACCGGACCTGTGGACGCTGAACCTGACGCGCAGAAACCTGCCGTCGCTGTCCCTGGCCGGTGAACTGGTCCGTCCTCGTTTGATGCTGCTGTTCTGTTCCTGGGCCTGTGCTACGATGTCTGGAGCATGACCATCCATTAGCATTAATTCTGCCGCGCCGAACGGTTTGTCACGCACGCAGGTGGTGCCTCGTTATGTAGTAAGCACAGTGCATACGATGTCTGTCATGAAATCTATGATTTAGAGCGGTACCTTTGACAGTCATGGGGGACGCCTCGGGTTTTTGGTTTTGTCTGTTAATTTTTTTTTTTGGCTATTCGTGACGATTTCAGGGCTTTGGGATAAAAGAGGGTGCATACTGGTGGGGCAAGACTAATTGCGCCTGTGAGTCTTCATCGGAAACTTATCTCGCACAGAGCCCCCATCTTGGTATGTGTTCTGCGGTCGGCCAGGACCCCCGCCAGGCAGCCCAATCGTAAAAAGTGCATGCAGCTTTCCCCGGATAAAAGAGGTGTCGCGAGGATGTAAAATGAAGCGTGAATTAAGAGCAAATGTCGCTGGTCCGAATACCTAATCAAACTCAACGCCCGGACCGGACGACTGCCGCTCACCCCGCCTCGATCAGCATGTCCAGGCAGCCGAGGTAGTACCAGTGCTTGCCGAGCACGTGGCTGCCCTCCTCGGCTACGAACAGGACGCGGCGCGACAGGTCCACCATTTCCTGGATGGCCAGCCTTAGCAGCAGACACTGGGCGAGCAGCTGGGCGGACGCCAGCTCCGCCTCGCCGTCGTGGATCCGGCGGTTGATGCTCAGCGCGATATAGCCTGCGGCGACGGACATGGTCGGACGCAAGTGGGACCGGCGACGGGAAGCACCGAATCTGCCCGTGCAGTGAGTCAGGACCAGCGACGCGAAAACGCAGGGAATGGTCCACGCAACCGGCCGCGAAATGCGACGTGAATGGAGCCGCGCTCTGGCCAAAACCTGGCGGCCGTTACGTGAACTACCTACATTGACGAGATGGAGTGAACGACATTCCGATGGTAATGCAGAGTAACCAGTCAAATGTATACTAATATTCTAATATCTACGGCGTGCCTCTGGAATGGGCCTGTCTGATGACACCCTATCAAAAGTGAGTTATGCAAGGCTGTGTAAAGCGTCGTAGGCGTTACTCCGCAACAGGAGAGCCTCGGAAACGTATCGGTTCATTGAGTCAAGATGCTGACCGGTGGGACTCACCGTTATCCAAGGCGTCGAACAGATCTCCATTCGCAATTTTCATGCGGAGCACGATGGTGTAGAGACTGGCTGCGGTGGCGAAGTCCTCCTCCTGCATCATGGCGAACAGCGCCTCTAGCTTGGAGATGGCCTGGCGGGAGTAGCTGGACGCCTGTCTCAGACGGCCACGGGCCATGCATGCCTGTAAACCGAGGATGATACTTCGCTGTCATAACAAGTGTATGATGGCAACATACACGTCCAACCGATAAACACAGGTCGTGATTTTACCGCAGGACAAGAACAATTTTGAGACAATCACCTATCTATTTACATGGGTTGGAGTTTTTGGACGCACACTGATATGGGCGTATGTAAAATTTTACCATACCAGGCCGGCACAACTCCCAACTTTTAATTGATAAACAACTTTAACGTGCCGCAGTTACGCTCATGTGTCCCTGTTGCCCCCCCCCCCCCCCCAGCCCACCCTTGAAATGCTCTAACGCACACTGATATATGTTGGTACCCTTCAGTTAAATTAGCCAGAACCTCTGGAAACGAGCGTCTCGCACCACGCCCAGCCTCTACAATATTCTCCGTGAATTGGCAGAAGTACGGATGCCACATTTTAAAATCATTTGAGGGCCCAGCTGATATGATTGACCTAATACGCTCCTAAAACTCAATTTCTCTACGGATTTTGGTCACCTCGAGGTAATGCTCTACATTTGTTTGGGTTTGTCAACTCAAATAGCTATTTTGAAGACAGTTCGGTGCAGGTTACACCTCTGGGTCCTCCGAGAGGGAGTATCCCACCTGTCTTGTACTTTTCACTTATCGTTGGATCAGACGCCTACGATATATCAGCGATACCAGTTTTCCCGAAATCCTTTTGGGTAGCTTAGAATTTCCATTGAAATAGTCGCTCCTGCGGGAGAGCTCTCATTTGCCTCCCGGACACGAATGTGAAAGTAATACATTTCGTTTGCAATGCTTTTCCAATGTCCATCGTTCCGCAGTGTTTGCAACACACAAAATGTCAAAATGTCTGTGTAGTAAATGTAACGAAAGATTGAAGAACTCTGTGTACACAAACTATATGCAGATATGAAGCTTTTATCCTGCAAATTTAGCGAAACATTTCACTATGGCTTTGATTTCCCCCGTGGCGTTTACCACAAGCGACCCCTTCGAGGCGCACTCCTTTGGGAATGGGAGCATCACATGGTCCATGACGCGCTGGTTCATACTTCAACTAGCACGTTTCTTGGTAACAGACCCTTGGTACCCTCCCGGCCAATCACAAACATTCTTTTGCTCGCATCACTTTAGGTGCGCACGGCGGTTGTCATGACGACGGTTGTTGCGACCTGCAGTGAAAAGGCGTAGTGTTGTTAGCGAGCGTTGACGTCGTGGGTTAGACTCGAAAGTAATACAAACTGATGTCATTATGTCATGAAGGTGCAAAGGTGGTGCACTACTCAGTGCTATTTTTATACGTAATTAGTCCTGAGATTTCACTAGACGATGTTGACTAAAAATGCACTTCAAAGGTGGGACGCTCGCTTTAATTCTTAAACCCCCTATGGGTTATAATTAAGTCCATCGAACCAGATGGATTTCCTCATTTAATAAGTGTGCTGTACTGGCAGATGACACTTCTATGCCAGTGGTATTGAATACACACAGTAGCACCCCTCGTGCGCGGTGATCAGTATTCGTCCGAGACCGGCATGTTCCTGCCATTACGCCACGGGCAGGCCCGCAGCAATCAGTGAAGCACCGTCAAGGATTGATTTGACCAAAAATGTCTTGGGGAAATTTCATGCGGGAAAAAATTATAGCCACCGCCTGGTTCAGGTGTTTTCTCGTGAAAACCTGCTAGGGTCGGTAAACTGGGCACTATATCAAATTGACATATTGCAGAGTCAAATATTAAAAGCAGGTAAGCCAGCTACAGGATATTATGTGGTGCAATCGACAGTGCAACTAGAAGTGATGTTTTCGTGTACCTAATGTACAGACATTTCAGAGATAATGTCCGCATTTCCTCTGACCAGTATTCATGTTCTGGCCATATGCATTGGTGGGCAGGGGGAGCTCATGGGAACATTCATGAGGTTCAAGGTTAACACTTTGGAGGGGGGGGGGGGGCTTAATCCCGAAAGCACATTGGGCGATGATCTCAGCAGAAACCTCTCCCAGTACGCCAGTTGGCCACCCCAACAGCCTGTGATCGCGAACACCTGGATGATACTGGAGTAGGCGGTGATGAGCTCGTGAAAGTCGGTGCTGGCTGCCTCGGCGATGTTGAGCTGCATCAACGCCGCCAAGTAGCACACAGACTGGTTGTGTTTGAGGTTGAAGACGGCCACCAAGCTGTTCAGGCAGTTGGCCGCCTCAACCATGATGGGAGCCATCTCCTGGTCGACGCTGCCTGCCAGTTCGTCATGGCTGCCATCGGCGCCACTCGGAGGCGCTCACACAGTCCGCCAGCTCTGGCGTGAACGCCTTGGACCGTCGAGTGCTGGCGGCTTTAGGTTATTAGCCAACTGCATGTCGCCTCGCGTTAGTTAAGCTGTCGGCAATATACATGTCTTTAGCCTAAAGTAAGGCGCTCGTGCCCAGTGCCACACCGATGGCAGTCAAATAGTTATCAGGTTTGGACGTACGGTCCAATAACCTGGCGTACCACAGAATAACTTCAGGAAAGGCAGGAAGGGCAACAACGTTACGTTTAGAGAGGTTGAGCAGTCCCATCAGGAGTGACCAAAGAATGGCTGCAAGGTCTTAAGAATGTTTAGGTGACTTCGGTAAGACGTGGTGTCCTATTCAAAATATCAGATCGAGCCAACCAAAAGCTGTAAACGTCTGCAAAACATGCACCAACTCTGACATCTTAAGATGAATTTCAGTGAATCATGCGTATTTGAACCTCACTTTGCCCATAAATTAATAACTCATTCGATTTTACAAGAGGAAGATAACCCTTCGTACTATAAGGCTTTGATAGCTCACACTCAATTATAATCATGTTGGGGTATAGTGACGCCACTTTTCTGTTGGTGGATATGGAGCATACCCAAATTGACAATTTGTTGCCATTCTTGCGGATAATTTTTGGCGGATGTGATCACACCATTAAACACCTGTGAGCCATTTGATGAATTATCAACGCGTTGTGTTTCGTTTTGTCCCAGAGTAACGGTTAGACGTGAAAGAAAATTATGACGCAATGCTTGTAGTCATCGGTCGTAACATTTGGTGTTTATGACGAATGAAATTCACACAATTTCGCTTTAAATTGCTACTCGGAAATTATTCATGAATGACGGGGGTCATGGTAAAGGATTACCAAACGCATCCAAGTTACAAACATGAATGTGCTGACATTCATACTCTGGTCATGATTTCCGCCAAAAACTTCTAGCACAGTCCTGGGGACTGGAACATCGGTAAACGAAGTCTTAGAAACCTCATCATATTGTTGCATTATTACACATTTGGATCTATATTTTCATATCTACGTTCTCTGTGAAATTTGGGCTTGGAAACTAATGTTAACTTAAGAAATTGAACGAAGATGTGCCAAAACACCTGAGTTATAACGCCGTTCATGGGATCCGTTGTAGTAAGGCAATCATAAATATTGCTAGATTTAAACGAAAAAGCTATTTTATTTGTTGCATGTTTTGCATCTACTGGACAACGGCAGGGTTAAAAATTGTACAACAGTGAGGTTCATATCTGCATGGTTCCTTGAAACGCACCTTGACGAGAAGTCATGCTTGATCGCACTGCAGAGATCTGACTTTCCGTCGGCTTTATATTCTACGACTGACCAAGATAGTGCCGTGGGAGCAGCTTGTGCACCATTTGGGTGATCTCGGCCGCCCAGATGTGGAAAATGTTGACGTGCGTGGGGAAAGATATCTCCAGCATATCCAGAGCCGCCCTGACCAAAAGGTAAACACATATCAGCCCCTTGTCGGGAACATGCTTTCGTGGTGAGAACGTCGAAGGTTCACAAGAGACAATAAGCGCGACACGGCAACTCCCTATTGCGAGCTATGCGACAGATAAGCTAACCAAATCGAACGGAAATAGAAAAGAGCGCAGCGATTGGAGCGAATAGCCAGGCCTTGTACTCATGAATGATGCAGGATTGGTACAGCACATGGTCTGTTACAACTAATTGAGTTAACGATGCATAATACGGAAAATGCAGATGATTGGGCTGATTCAGGGGCAGTAATGATCGAGCCGACCGGTTCGATCCTTTTAGCCATGCATAGATCACACTACAACGCTTCAGTCGTTCCTACCCTCCTATCGTTTGCCCTCCAGACTCAGATCGCGCCCACCTCAGGTGCGACAGCGAGTCCTCAAGCATGCCCATGCGCAGGTAGGCCTGGCCCATGAGGTTCTCGATGCGGGCGTCCTGCCACCACGCGGGAATCACATCACCGTCGTCCGGGTCCGGCAGGGGGCGGGCACCTGGCCATGAGAGTGACGATCAGCAGCGGAACAGTGGATCAGCGCGGAACAGCGAGAGCGACAGTCGAGCCCGACATGGCGCCGTCGTCTTAGTGGGGGCAGCGCTGCGCAGAGTAATGAAGACGTGCATTGCAATGGCAATGGACAGCACTGAGTAATATGATACACCGTTGTAGATTTGCACGCTGCATGCGTCCCAGCTGTACCAGAGCAATGCTCTCGTTGAACGTTTGTTCGTACATTCCGGTGGCTTATTGGTTACAAGGTGAGCTCTATTTCAATAACTTGACCCGTCGGCTGAACTGCTCAGAATCTTTGCCTGAACGGCAGCTTGATAGCCATATACTTTCGAGTAACAAACATTTCGAGAAACAAATGCAAGCAATTTTACACGAGAAGCACACAAAATGTTGTCGAGCATCGAGACCTTTTTTCAACTAAATGGCTTGCACCATGCCAAACTGCCCGTCGCGCTTCGTCTAAGAGCAGGATTTGTACAGTAGCCCTTTGTGCAGCAGCCCCTATGTAAAGTGCCGGAGCGCTCGCCTGTCTTCATCTCGTCGACGAGAATCTGCGCCTCGCGCAGGTAGGTGAGGGCCTGGCTGTTGTTCTGCAGGGTGATAGCCGCCTCGCCGGCCGCGGTTAGGAAGTGCACCGTCTTGCCCACCATGTCTGGCAGGGACACACGTGGCGCATGGCACATGCCGCACATGTCAGCGGTACAAACAGCATGTAGATGTGCACAGGCGTGCCAAACCCACGAAGTCCATATCGAACGGCACACGGGTCAACGAAGGTCATGACATGGGGCTCGGCTCACCGCTCTGCGTTCGCAGTGCGCTACGGAAGGGTGATGAAGAGCCTCATCGAAGCACAAGTGGCGACCTGATGTAGTGCTCAGAGCGTCACTCCTGTGATCACAAGGAATGAAACCTGACATTCGACCTCGGCGCTCCTCACGAAACCTCAATGCAGCGACTGTAACAAAAAGCCAATTTGCTAAAGAAACCACACCCGTCTGCGCGGTAATATCTACATGGAGCGAGCGTGCCATCTGCCGTCTGCAGCGCTGCCGCCTCACGTACTGGCGTTTTTCCAGTGTCTGATCAGCTGCGGGTAGACAGTGGCCAGGATCTCTGTGCAGCGGCAGGCGCGCCGGTCCAGCGGACTGGCGCCCTCCTCCTCTTCATCGCCCCCGTCCGTCACCATCGATGACGAGCGCGAGCGCACGTGCTGCTCGCGCGCAAACACGGCACCGCGCTCGTCAGTAAAGTGGATCGAGCCGGTCAATAGTGAGCTTAAAAATAGCCACAAAGAAAGACATGAGGTCTGTTTTAATAGGATATAAATAGTCGTAGGCCTGTCCACCGCAGTGGAACGGCTTTGTCTACCACCTGGGTCTGCAATGGCACGCGTCAAGATGTATTCTTGTTAAGGGAACGCGACGCACGACGTAGCGGGTTTCGGACCACAGCGGTCTATGAATTGGTGATATTGTACAGTGACAACATACGGTGCAATAAGACAATATGCGGTACGATGACACAACGTACGCTACAATGACACAACATCCAAACCAGCTGCTAGTCATAGACATGGAATTTTTGCATCGAGAATGCGTTTACGCATTTGGCATGGAGCACATTCTTGAATAACTACCAAAGAACTGCCAAAACTCTCATGGTGCAATGTTGATCCATCACATACACGCAGAGCCGGTGGGACCGAACAAATAAATGAGAATAAGATCCAAAGGTTTCTGGCAATCAGCTTCCGCACCACGTTGTCTCGTTTGCTGCCGGCTGACGCTACATGAATGGCTGCACTGGCTTGCCCGCCATGGCCGCCTGTGCCCTTGTTACCTGTTGGGCGTTAGTTGCTGTCTGCTGTATTGGACGGTACACCAGGCTGGTCTCCTGCAGCCGAGACATGGCCGCCCATTTTAGTTTCGTTCAGCAATGGCACAGGCCATGCAAGACAGTATATGATGTTTTAAAGGCTCGTACTTTGGCGTTTACTGGATCCCGATAAACATGTGTTTGTAAGAGGGTGAGATGGATATATACGATTATATTTATGTCCCTTATGTTTGCATACAACTTGGCCACAAGACGAAGACAGGATAAAAAGACACAGCGAATGTGCTTATGTTTTATATGAGTAGGCACATACGCACCAACTGTGCGGCGCGCGGCAGGCCACGTTCCTTCGAGAGCCCCGGAACAGCACACATTAGCATCTTTAGACGCCACTATATTCTTGACTTACCTGACCTCGCTCCCTGCTTTTGGGAATCACTTTGGTGCCCCGGTGGAGGCGAGAGGGTCCGGCCTGCTGCTGTTGTGCCATCACCGACTGTGACGATTGCCGCAGCGCCACTTTGAAGGATTCCTGAAACAATGCGTTTAGCCATATTTATTGTTGTTGTGTCCCATAGTAATCCGTTTACCAGAATCAAACAAAATTAGACGTGTACAAGTGCTGGAAGTAGCATTCACTTCGCGCTCGCGGCACAAGGATGCTGACTCAGCTCAGGCGTGCTGCAGACACTGAAGTGCAATGACATGACACGAATTTAGGGCACCCGGGGCACAGCCTGGAGCCTGCACAAGTGGTGTGCTCTCCGACCACCTCCGCCTAGGCTGCAGCCCTGCCTGGTGTCGGCACCACCGACCCACTCCCCGGCAGGTGTGCCAGACTCGGTGCGTCGCTGGCGATAGCCGTTATCTCAGTGCTGTGCTCCTTGACTACCTCAGGGCCCTCCTACCCGCAGACAAAAGTGGTGTGCTCCCCGACTGAGTGTGGTCGTCGCGCCCCTGTCGCGTCACACCCCTGTCGCGTCGCGCCCCTGTCGCATCGCGCCCCTGTCGCATCGCGCCCCTGTCACATCGTGCCCCTGTCGCGTCGCGCCCGGCCTCGTCGTGCCCGGCCTGGTCGTGCCCGGCCGCGTCGCGCCTCTGTCGCGTCGCGCCCGGCCTCGTCGTGCCCGGCCTCGTCGTGCCCGGCCGCGTCATGCCCTGTCACATCGCGCCGCTGTCGCGTCGCGCCCGGCCTCGTCGTGCCCGGCCGCGTCGCGCCCGGCCTCGTCACTCACCGATCCGCTGAGGCCGTGTTCGAAGTCGCCGCCGCCGCAACTGCGGCAGCGGTGGGCGCGGCTCTCGAGCTGCAGTGCCGCGTTCCGGTGCAGGTGCTGGCGCTGCTTCTCCATGAGCGTCTCGTACGCCAGCTCCTGCCGGCGGCGGAGTGGAGCCGTCAGCCCGCCGGCTTTTAGCAGCCGGATGGTAGGCATAACAGCCGGCAGCTCCAGGCGGCGGAGCGGCTGTCAGGCAGTGTTCTAAACTGAACAGGCCCGCTGGAGGGGTGGACTAGGACCACCTGAGACCAGCACGCCATTGATGATGCTCCCGGCAGACAGTGGAGCAGTGATTAAACTGACAGACTGACACCTCCAGGCTGATATTAGCTCAGAGGGATGACTCGTCCAACGCTGAACTGGAGGCCGGCCTTGGTCGCCCCAGGGTGAAAAGCTGAGAGACCGGCATCACTCATGCACCTCAAGAACTACATACCGACATCATTACGGTCGCAAAATGGCCTTGGCAACAGACGCATCCGAAGACTTCAATAATGAATCAATCGAATGGCGACTAGAGCGTCACGGTGTTGCAGCGTCACGTTATGCAGCCCATTTAGAATCGGCCAGGCATGCAGACCTGTGCTTGGTTCGCCCCCGATCGATGCCGTATTGTATGGCTCTGCGACTCAAATAAGTTCTCGGTACTTTCCCGCCATTGTATACAGTACCATCAGTGTGCGAGATTGTAATTAGCTCATTTTGAATACGGCACATAATAATGTTTGCTTCTCAGTACTATATGTATGTTATGCTCCAATCAGTCGTTTTATATCGGCGGCTTCATTCTGAAATAGTGTTGGAAGACGCCAATGCTACAAAATACTACTCGTCAAATTCATACCATATCGTCCAAATGATATCTGCCGTGAGCAAGCATATTTTGTGGAACGACAAAGCAGGTGGTATGCGATCAGAGGTGTGGGTAATAAGGTGTTGTCTATAAGTATTGTACTTCATAGATGTCCTGAATATTTTTATTTTTATCATGACAACTCTGGTCTCACGACATCAGCACTAAGTAAGCGCCAAAGTCGCACTCATTTGAAGTGACCCTAGGCATTAGTGAAATTCGTAGCTATGTGAGCAGTGTATAACGATCTATATGCTGTACATATAAGCCATCAGCTTCTATGCATGCATGAGGTTTCTTAAAGACCATATCTTATTTCGGTGGGAAATTGTTTCAACACCATTACAGTCATAGCAAATGGCATTGGGCATCCTACCACGTTACAATGTAGTGCACAGTTTCTCGCCTTTGAAATGTACGAAGGTGAGCGGAATCAGAACGATTGCGTCGGTACTTCTTGGCGAAACTGGCGCAGTTGGACGTGGTCAGGTTGCATCGGTTGCATATTCAGTTTGCGAGTTAAATTCACCCAGAAACTGGCTGTGGTAAGCGGTATGCCAAAGCTATCATTTGAATCCAGCTTCAACTGAAGGGCAGGTACCAAGATTCACGTTATGTGATGATGCGATGAATTTATATTGCAGATGTCAACGTGCGCGTTCTCAGCCACCCCTTACTACTGCCTGCGAGCCGGGGCTACCAGCTTTACGCCTGTGGTGTGTGTGAGTGTGTAAGATGCACTTGCTGAAAGCATGTGTAGATGAGTCGGTGGGCGTTGAGACTTGTAAGCTGAATACATTGTCTGTGAGTGTAGCCGGGGTTTCACTGCATGGGTTCTGTATTGGCTTGGCTGCTTTCATGTTTGCCTTTAAAGCTTTGTGTATTGCGCATGGGCCAAAATGCTGCGTTATTTGGTGAAGGCTGCAACTTTCTCGCATGAAAAACATTAGCTCACAGACGAATTGCACGGACATAATCGATTCATTCGTAACCCTGAGCACAAGTCGTTGGATTGTTTTAATCAAGGACCAATCAAACTTAGTTTAACGCTTATCATGAGTCGATTCTGACTCTGATTCGAATCTTGCTGAAGTCTGTACTATACCACGAACCACCAGAGAGGGCCGGCGCTGGGCGACACCCGACCTCACCTGCATTATTGCAGAGACGAACCGCATGAGCTGGCAGTGGACGTACCGCGGTTCAGCACGCTGACACATCAGCGTCTCTGGGAGATCGCACGAGCAGACGTCAAGGGAGCACTGACTGACGAGTTCTGAGTCGGGGGGCGCACGTCGACGTCACAGGAGGACACGGACCGACGTCAGGGAAGCACGGACTAACGTCAGAGGGGCACAGACCGCTTCTGACAGAGGGGCACAGAGTTCTGAGTCGGGGGGCGCACGTCGACGTCACAGGAGGCCACGGACCGACGTCAGGGGAGCACGGACTAACGTCAGAGGGGCACAGGCCGACGTCAGGGAAGCACGGACTGACGTCAGAGGGGCACAAACCGACGTCAGGGGGGCACGAACTGACGTCAGAGGAACACGGACCGATGTATGTGGTGCATGGATTGCTGTTAGGGGAACCCATATCGACGTCGGAAGAGCATGGGCCGACGTAAAAGGAGCACGGACCAACGTCAGGAGAGCACGGACCGATATCAGGGACAAGTGGACATGCCGCCATCGCCGGAAGAAACGACGGCCCGGAGCGGGGCATACCATATCAAATCCGGGTTAACTTCACTCAATTCCAATGCCAACAGGCAATCAGCATTGTCACCAGCGCCCCGAAAGTTGCTCAGATTTACTGTTATTTTATAACGCGGACTGGTGTGGGGGCTTCAGATGGGAGATGGGAGCGATGAGGACCAGCTGTCGTTTCCAAAGTAAGAAAGACATAGAGCCTCATGGAAATTACAATGATTTCGTGTTAACGAAGTCTCGCCTTTAGAGATAAGTCTTATGAGGCCAGGTCAATGTTTCCTGAAAAAAATGAACAATAATAGCTTTACGCTCCTTTGTTCACGAAACAATGCCACTGAGCAGCATGAAACATTAACAGACACATTTCTTGTTTATTGTAAGTACAAAGATGCCTAGTGTTAAGTGTTTTGAGTATAAAGCTCAAATGAAGGGCTCAGTGACGGACCCAGAGGGGGACACTGGGCCACGAGCCCTCCTTGAGCCGCGAAGTGGCCCATAGGCTCCGAGGGAGCCTGTAACCGGTCGAAAAGACGCAGGTTTTAACACAAAACGCAACAAAATTGGACGCCTTTGGACCTGCAGGCAACCAAGAACAGTCGCAATCGAAAGTGGAGGGCCTACGAGCAGACAGAACAATACTTCACTGGTAAGAGGGTCATGGTTGGGCCCTTTTAAGGCTTATCACGCTCATCAGAGGCCCTACGCTATTCCCGGAGCTCCACAAGTCCATTCGCAGGGTTAATCAAGTATTTAAGGAGCCTACCACGCTGCCCTTGCATTTGCTCGGAGCGCCCTGTGCTCTTGTAGGGGCCTCATTTTGAACCTGCTTGGGCACACTCGATCGTTCGGGGTCCTGCAGATTGGGTTTTGGGTAGTTCTTATTTGAATGAAGAGCGCTACGCTATTGCTGATGGCCCCATCTGATTGAATGCCATTTTTGGAGGTGCCCCAAACTTTAAGGGAGTCTTCGATGTTGCGTGCCTCCCCCCTGCCCGCTGACGAAATCTTGGATCCGCCACTGGCAGGGCTCCGTTTATGTTACGCCTTTGGCCTACCGCGCCCTACCGGCGGATACGTCAGTTGCCGCGAGCCGCCACCGCCGGTCGTGGACCGCCATACAATGTTCCTGAAGTACAGTGCTACACAGAAACCAAAACAATGCCAGATACACAGTTTTGGTGACAAAACACGCGCGATAAATACTCCGAGGTTATTCAAAACTTGGCGCGGTTGCACAACAGGCTCGGAGTGACATCCTCAGAACACATTGCACGGTGGATGTGGGGGGGGGGGGGGGGGAGAAGAGGGGCATCGATCCCTTATCAGGGACACTTAACAATAAGGCTCAGACGGAGAAGGCTTTGTTGCAGGGGTGTCAGTTTTTGTAAGTTACTGAGGAGGGAGGGGGGGGGGGGGAAGAGTAGGCCCGACAACATATCGCCATTTTGTCCCACCGGACTTAGCCCACTTTTTCCATTTGACGCAATGTATATTGTTAACCGTTGCATAATCTATAAAAGTCTTTGCTTTAGATAATATAGAAGCTATGCAGGGTTGGACCCAAGGAGCAGACACCGTCTGTTCTGATCGGCACGTGAAGGCCACCTTTAGAAGCCACCTTATGGCGCCGAAGGTGCTCTGCTTTGGCGGAGGCGGCACACATTTTGGCTGTGGGGAAGGGGGATGGGGTCAGCCATGAAGGACCTCGGCCATCCCCATGTTCCGGAGCGTTTCACTTTAACCTCACAAACCATTGCGTGTGTTGTGGCGCTAGGTATGTGCAGTTTTTTGCATCGTTTATCCGCTCAGCTGTTACGATTTGTATCTTATGGTGTGAGCAACCATGCCTTTTTGTTATGAGAGTGGTACGGGACGCCACGATGCGGAAAGATGAAAGAAGATAGTCTTTGTGTTATGATCATCTTTTACCCACGTTTTTTGTACTATTCCCGCCAAAAACACTGGGGAGCAAGCCAACGTTGGGGGGGGGGGCAACTCAACAGGGGGGCGGGACCCCCACAAAAGAATACAATTCGACACCCGTGCTTTGTTGGTACAGTACAAGCATTTGCTGATCCCCGTGACTCCTTCCCCTCACTAGGTTCAGATGGGCCGATGTGGCCCCTAGAGATCAAAGATTAAGACCACGAATGAGTCCCGAAGGGCGTAGCTACAGGCGACATTAAAGGGATTGCTCCACGTTTGGAGAAACAAGCGTAAGATATCGTGAACTAAGGTTCCTGATAACTATTGGTATACTTCTGAGTGCAAAACACCGCTCCAGACATCACAATGTTTCAAGTTAGCAACTATGTTCCTCAACGCGTCATTGCTTGATTACGTCAGGGAACATTTGCATGGCGTTGATGTGCTGCTAGATCAGCGGCGCAAAAATGCCGCCATGGCACTCTCTTGTAGTACCTCAGATTAAATAGGGAAAATGATACCTGCGAGTAGATTAGACAGTACTATTAGCCTCATTCCTCGGAAAAAGCAGGAGCATGGAGACATAGTTAGGTTGATATTTCGGCAACATGCCTTTATCGAAACAAGACTTCAGCTGTTGTTTCGATAAAGTCATGCCGCCGAAATATCTACCTAACTATATTTACATTCTCCGGTTTTTTCGAGGAGTAAAGCTAATACTGCTGCCCAATCTATGTGAATATACCTGCAAGTGGTTTCCTGCATATATACCTGCAGATACCTGCAAGTGGTTTCCGAAGCCTAAAAAGAACGCTCCTGGTGAGCAATGTTCGTGAATGACACGGTCGTCCAGCACTGGTGAATCCAGACGGGCCTAGCGAGCCGCGGCCACAAATACGCTGAAAAGGCACAACCAATGCATCGTTGCGCTTTATATTAGCAGCATTGGGAACCTGTTGCGAGCCCCACACACCGAACTCCATCGCGGATTCGAGCATCCTGACCGACCTAGGATGGGCGGTAGGTCGCAGTGGCACACGATGCTCTTGGTGGTGACTGGGGCGCCGGCGTGCGTGTGGTGCTGGCCTTGGTCGGCCGCCGGCGTGGCGCACATGACGATGCGTAGCTCGAACAGACGCCGCGTGGCCGAGCGCACCTTGCGCGCCTGCCGGACACAGCGAATCCGCACTCACTCGCAGCGACCCCGCCCTCACTGCCGGACACAACGAGCTCGCTCTCACTGCCGCACACAGCGATTCCGGTCTCACGCGCGGCGACCCCGCCCTCACTGCCGGACACGGCGGTCCCACTCCCACTGCCGGGCACCGCGACCCCGTCCCCACTGTCGGACACCGCGACCTCGTCCCCACTGTCGGACACCGCGACCCCGCCCCCACTGTCGGACACAGCGACCTCGTCCCCACTGTCGGACACCGCGACCCCGTCCCCACTGTCGGACACCGCGACCCCGTCCCCACTGTCGGACACCGCGACCCCGTCCCCACTGTCGGACACCGCGACCCCGTCCCCACTGCCGGACACAGCGAGCCCGCACCCACCGCCGGACGCAGCGACCCGCCCTCGCACACAGCGGCTCCGACGCAGGTCCAACCTTCAGTGGCATGTCGATGTGCCAAGGCTTTGTAGGGTACACATATGGCACACATACACATTCCTTCAGACTAATGGCGTTCAGCATTCGACTTTCATTAAAGCTGTTTTACTCTCATATCTTGTAGACTTAAAAATACCATAATATTCGGTTCGGCTTGATGACCGAACACATGCGAGGACAAACTCATCATTGAGTTTAATTTTACTAAACTAGGGCAATGCTCAACACATCGGTTTAGTTGGCACCTGGAAGTTGGGAATGATGGCCTCCAGAAGCGACCGCTCGAAGGTGTCACCCAGGATGGCGCCACACTTCAAAAACATCTGCTCGAACGGATTCAGCTTGTCGAAGGTGGCCATCATCATTCCTTAAACGTTTGATAAGCATTAAAACGCGAGTATCTCCGAAGCGCGTGCATATTTGATGCCTTTTGTTGAGTTTGTAATAAACAGGACCCACACGTTTTCACATAGTTTTGACGTATTCTTTTTCTCATTTCAGTGCCCTTTGGCAAGTTGATGTCTTCAAATTGATACCACATACGAAAAGTAATATTTATGCTAAGTACTCGGAGGCATGAGTAGCATCACAGGTGAGAGAGTCAACAATCTGACATAGTCTTAACCAGGGCACAGAGGGAAAAGGTCAATAATCCACACAACGTACAGTTGACCATCGGCAGGAGCCAGCTCAGGGGCTGCTCTGAGGCTGCTCGGAAGCCGCTCAACTTACAGCACAGCTTCCCGGTCCCTTACCGCGCATGGTGTCGGGTATGGGGATGTTGGCGAACACAACTCCCGGCGCCAGGTCGCAGATCATGTTGGAGCCGGACTCACGGGCCGGCGGCGGCTCCGGCAGCTCTTCGTCCTCCGGCACCGGTTCGATCTCCGGCATCACCACATCCGGCAGCTGCCAGGCAGGGGTACGGGCTCTCAACACACGGCAGCTGCCAGACAGGGCCACGGGCACTCAACACACTGCAGCTGCCACACACACACACACACACACACACACACACATATATATATATATATATATATATATATATATATATATATATATATATATATATATATATGTCTCATTTTCCCTTTCTCCCTATACTTTTTCTTTCTTTCTCTCTCATGCGATCTTTTCTTGTTTTCGTGACCATTTGCTCTCCCGTGTACGTTAGCTGACCTTGTTCTTGCCGAGTAGCTTTTCTATGACGCTAACTCTCTTCTTTCCTTGGTTGGGCTGTTTACTCTTGCCGTCAGCAGCACTATCATGATGCTGAAACAGAGCACAAATAATTGTGTGCCGACTTAATTCATCAGGACTCTTGCCTTTCCTGTTCATGCTGAACGTCAATAAACACTTTTCACTGAGCACACATTCACCACGGCGCGAACAATGCCTGTCATCCTGTTATCGAAATTGTCACGTAGAGTGCGTCCACGCCAGTGTTACTTCTCCGTACCTGGAGTTGTTATTGATTGTAATGTAAGTAGTGATCTAATCCTCAGTTTGATATAACCCACTAACCAACGATGCACATATTTTGCCAGAGAAACGCTTCTCCCTGACTCCTCGCCCCTCGAACAACAGCATACATGGTCGGTTTTCTCGGGCTTGACTCGGGACTCTCGCCGGGCCTCCATCTGCGCGCGAGCCGCTGGCTCCGGCCTGTGATCAGCTCCGGCGCCAGCGGCCGCCGACGTCACGTCTGCGGTCTGAAACACCGATCACGCCATCGAGAAATCACATCACCAACTTTGCGCTTGGTTGATGCATACTGGATGACAGGGACAAACTGATGCTGACAAAAATGGGCATGCATGACTACAAAACCCACAGACATCGTACAAAGTCTCTGCCTGTCTGAAGTCACCAGAGGCAGACGGCGACGACTCAGGTCCCTGTGACCTCGCTGCCACCGCCATCAGCTCACCATAATACTCGATCTTTTGGTGACAAGCGTCGGGTTGGCGAACGAGATGCGCTTGTTCTTATCCTTGGAGGAGCTGGTCAGGGGTGATACGCGCAGGAACTGGTTCTGGAACATGTCGCCCAGCAGCTGCTCACACCAGCCCGGGATGCCGTGCGACTTCTCCTGCAGAAGTCTGGGAAGGGGGGGGGGGGGCAGGTCATTACTCGCGTCGCCCTTGTAGCAGTAGCAGCTCGGCGACAGCAGCACCTGTGCAGCTCGAGACGCCGTGCAGCTTCTTCGGTAGTCTGGGGGCGTGACGGGCATCCCATACCACGCGTTTTCTCGAGCAGTAGTTCACCAAGCGACATGGCAGACGTGCCGGTGCGTTATTCGCTGCTCACTAGGACAGGCACCGAGTTTTTATCCGTCGTTCAATCTTCCGTCTAACCTGCCATTTTTGTACCTGTATTTGGAGCGCGATGTGTATTGGCGGTATTTTTGGCGCAAACGATAATTCGCTGTCGCACGTCGCATAGGAAATATCTTGGCTATTCCAATGTAGTCAGGATTGGCTTCCAAAGCCTAGTTAAGCCGACTGTATCAGGCAATCTTTTCTTGCTTGAGTCTTTTTCCAGACATCCTCCACAATAATCTTGTTCATATTTAGTGAGCGTTCATCTTGCCATCATCATGCTGTTCATATTCGTCGAGTATTCATCCTGTTTACATCTTCACCTGTTCACATTCACTGAGTATTCATCCTGCCACCAACCTGTCAGTGTAATATTGCTCAGTGCCGCAAAAGCATTACAATTAGGCCTGTTACCATCCTTTCCATTCTGGGGATGTTGATGTCGAATATTGGTATCACGTTGGCATGCTGATAGTAAGTACTGCACATATCAGAGAAGGTGCTAACGCGCGCAGCAGTTCCATGTACCATCCAGTGAAGTGTCTGGTGGCAATACCAAAGGCGAGTGGAACAACATTGGCAGAAGTAGCTTTTAAGCCTCAGTATATTTCACATCTAACTAGTGATGCTGTCGACTTTTGACTTACTTGACAACTTCGTTAGGGACGCCCTTCACTTCCAGTATTTGGCAGGCGAGAGCGGTCAAGTATTCGTTTTCGAGACCTTTCATGCGCACGTACGTCAGAGCCTTGGACTGAAACAGAAGATGACCTCAATGGGATCTTGATTCAAGTCCCTCGCTATGCTCAGTCCAGTTGCTTTAAAGAAGGATGAAGAACTGGGAACATTGACTACATTCAATTCCAATTCGTCCGGAAATGCCTTGCAGCTATTTATTTTAGTGTATCATTCATGACAGGTCCAAGCAGTGACTGAGCTTTGCCCTCTTCCCTAGATGGAAAAAAGCCGGGATGAATGACAAGAATCATGCTTTAAAGAAAATCTAAGCAGCTTTAGTCAGCAAAGGTTTGTTTCAGAGCACTCCTTGAGGTAAAGGGAGGCAAACTCCGGTGAGTTGTTGGAAAATCGCCAATTTTGTGTACTTTAATCCTGCCAAGCTAGCGTTTGCCCCCCCCCCCCCCCAAGAACGCGCTCTGGATACGTCCGCAGAGATACGTCTTCAAATTTTTTTCCTCGAAGATTTTCCCCGAATAAGGCCACTATTCTTGCCTTCAGATTTACTTGACTTGTGAACTATATAACTATATAACTATATAACTATAAAACTATAAAACTATATGAAATGCCGCAGGGAAAAGGCTTCGAGATATGGTGGCGCTATAACGGGGTTCTAACAGGCTAGAGCGGCTGTGAGTGGAGAGGGGCGTACCTGGTTTGTGGAAGAGGATGTAAGAAGCGCAAACATTATATAGCTTCAGGCTACCACCCAGTGGCGCAGACACAGGGGCATGAGCCTGGCCCGTGGGTCCTTTAGGACCGACGATGCAGGGCCCGAAGGGCTGGTCGAAAGTCATATTACGGGCCGCGACTCCGCGCAGCCAATGGAGATTGCAACGTTGGGCTTCGGGATTTTGGTTTCTTAAACTTGCGAGCGTGTATATGCTATGTTACATATTTTGTTTTACTAATCGATTCTGACTGAGGGTTGACCATTCCCAGATGAACAAGGGTTGGCCATGTTGATACAAATTCCTGGCCTCATTTTGATCTGCAATCTACGCTCACGGGCTCCTCAATACATCTCTAGAACCTAAAAACACTCAGAGGCTTGATCTTTGAATGCTTTCGTATTAGAAAAATGCCGGAGAACCTTTCTTAAAAAATAAATGGCGCTGGTGGTGTCTTTCTCATCTACTGGCCGCTCCCTTCAGGTTATTGACATCAAATTACTGTCACGATTGCATCTTCCGGTAACCTTTGGTTTCTCTTACAGTTAAAGAACGTGCAAATAAAAGGAAAGTGAAGAAAGTTATACCCTCTCGTAATCAAAAGGTGTTGTAAATCTCGTAACCCCCCCACCCCCAATATATCCGGGGATATATGGGGGGGGGGACGGGAGGGTGTTCAACAGCCGGAGGCCCTCGACAACCCCGTCAACCCCGCCAATCCGAAAAAGGTCTGAGTGATAGGCGACTGTTTATCACTAGATACAGTTGGAATGGTTTACATATAGCTAGCGGTTGCTGACTGAGCATGCTGCGACGTTAATACGCGCCCGGGTGGCCGGCTAGATACCCTTCGCTCGGGTGGGAGGGAGTCAGTTTGACCCCTAAGATCTCGGGAACTAAGAAAGCTGGAGACACTAAATTTGCAGGGTGTGTTGACCTGCACGTGAACTCACCTAGGTCAAATTTTGAGGTCACTAGGTCGTAATCTTCGGGTAAAATAAGGTCAAACAAGGCCAATTTCCAGGCTGTTCTCCAAAGTGTCCCCAGACCCTAGAAAACTGTTTCTAAGCTAAAGGTCACAAGCTTATTTAAGGTCAGTGACCTTGCTTGAGCTTTTGAAGGTCATGGTGACCAAAAATCATACAAGACTGCCTTGAGTTTTGCATTTGAATAAGGGACAAAGATTGCGCTTGGCAGTATGCTCCTTAAAAAAGGTTGACCCGGGTCATCTTAGGTTAATGACCTGTTGTGACCTCTAAGAAGTCAACTGAAGATGAATGATGCGGCTCCTGCTATCAATGAATTCAAAATGAGCACCGGAAAATACCCCATACAGCAAGCCCTAGAGGAATAAAATACATTGATTTTGTCCTTGGTCTGACCCTCATACCTGACCTTAGGTCAACCTAATTTGCTCGTTCAATGCTTGTGTTGCCTAATAAAACATCTCAAAAATGTATAGTTTCGTCAGACACTCCGCTGTTGCATCAGATTGAACGATTCCCTAGAAATTGACTTTGCTGAAACCATGGCCTGACTTTGACCTGCCATAGGTCAGTGACCTTGCAAGGTATATATAAATTTCTTACACCAAACGATCTGCTATCCAATTGTGAATAGCACTGCAAAGTTTGGCGCCGCTACGCCGCGCCGTTCGGAAACCACTCTGGAAAAATCTTTGGGAGGTCAATTTGACCCCCACCTGAGCGCGTGTTAAACTTGATTTTTCTTTGAGTCTGGACATTCATTAAGATCATAATATAATTCTAACCGAAAAATGATGCTTCGTTTTGGACGGGGCTGGTTATCTAACCATAAGACTGCTACAGCTGATGCTAGATAACGCAGCATCACAAGACAGTATCGATGCCTTCTAAAACATCGACATGGAGCGGGCGAGCGACCTGTCGTCCCATGGGAATCCCGACTGCACCGTCGTACGGCTAACGTTCCGCTACTCCGGGCAACGCCTCTGCCCCGCAAGCTAGTTTGCCAGACACGGATGGTCACATCGGCGGGCGCGCCCCCCCCCCCCCCCCGTCCCTCTCCGGCACCCCTCCCCCCCCCGAATCATAGTGACCTTACACAGAGAGCCGTAAGTACAGCAGTGAGCGGGCCGAGACGCGGACCGAGAGCGTGGCTGTGAGCGTAGCCGTGTTTGCGCTGGGGCGTCAGGGGCGGACGAGCGAACGGTCGCCAGACATAGCGCTCCGTCGGCTGCGAAAGTCCCAGTGCTGCACGGGATGACGGCTGTGAGTATGACCAGTACTCCATGGGATGACGGCTATTAGAATGGCCAGTGCTGCACGGGATGACGGCTAAGAGAGTGCCGGTGTTGCACGGGACGGCGGCTGAGAGAGTGCCAGGGCTGCACGGGATGACAGCTGTAAGTGTGGCCAGTGCTGCACGGAATGAAGGCTATGAGTGTCGCCAGTGCTGCACGGGAGGGCCGCCGTGAGTGTGGCCAGTGTTACACGTGATGACGGCTGAGTGTGGCCAGTGCTACATGGGATGACGGCTGTGAATGTGGCCAGTGTTGCACGGGATGACGGCTGTGAGTGTGGCCAGGGCTGCACGGGATAACGGCTGTGAGTGTGGCCAGCGCTGCACGGGATGACAGCTTTGAATGTGGCCAGTGCTGCGCGGCATGACGGCTGTGAGTGTGGCCAGTGCTACACGGGATGACGCTTCACCGCGCCGAGGCATCACTGCGGACAAGCAACATTTTCGCACAGACTTGCTGGGATACTGAACTTCAAAGCTGGGCTTAAGCAAACATATCAGACGGCAGTGCAGGATCACATGAATCCAAAAATGCAATTTTGTCGTGGGCTGTGACGTCGTCGATCACGTGGACCGGCCCCCCCCCCCCCCCCCAACGTTTTCTGGGAGCATCCGGCAACAGCCATAGGTTACTGCTGTGTTTTTGCAGCATCCAACACTGAAAATGTGATTAATTGTGCGTCGTTTAAAAGTCTTAAAAGAATGTAAAACGAAGTAGGCAAGCGCATTTATGCATGCACTCCTAATCTAGTTAACGTTAACCAATCACAGCGCATGGAGTGCAAGAAGTGACAGCGGGTGCGCGTCAGAGGCTTCGAGCGACAGCAGCGTCTTCAGAACACACCTTCAGTGTGGAGGCGGCGATCTCTGAGAGCGGGTGCAGCGAAGGCGGCATCATGGTCAGCAGGCACAGCACCGCCTCCGAGGTGGTCGACATGGTCTCCAGGAACGACCAGGTCTCGTCATCTATGAAGTGGGCGTTGTCGATGGCGAAGACGACGCCAGATGACACGGCCGTGTGCTGCCGGAGAGGCGCCGAAAGTCACCGCTGGGTAGCTGCTTTGGCTGCGTATAGTTATGTGCCCTTGTTTTTTGGGGTTCAAACTTGAATGTGGCTACTGATTGCTCAGAGCGTATGGATTGCCGTTTACCGCAGAGCAAACCGAATAAAACAGGTTTTCATTGGAACATAGCTCTTGCAGGTTTATGGGCGCTTTCGGGCATTCTCACAAACCACAGGGGCTTCGCCCTCGATCGCCGAACTGATGAAACAGCTCTTGATTTTATAAATGTCACCTGTTTGCTCCCACGACGCAAGCAGCTGACACAATGCGGTGAAAGAAATCGTCCGATGTGTGCACCGACGCAAGAAATCATCAGCAGTTTGGCGTGTCATGTCAATTTAAGGCGAACTTAGAAGTGAGTTCGCTGACCGAGATGGGTGTGGCTATACCCACGTCAGCATGCGAAAACAGAGAAATAATACAACAGATGGTCGAGCCTACCCGCTGCAAACGATATGTAGGAGGGAACCGACCTCCCTGACGATTTTCCAGAGCAGCTGCGTAGTCATGTTCTTGCGGGTGGGTCCGTCCGTCTGTGCTATACGAGGATTGACGGGTAGCTTCAGCTCCAGCAGGTCGTTCAGCAGGCACAGGTCGTCTCCGAGATGCTTGTCCTAAAAGAAAATGGTCGGCCTGAACGCTCAGTTTGTCAGTCAGCAAGTTAGTAAGCATAACAATCAACTGATTCGTCAGAGAAGGTCAGCTTGTTTACTGAATGTATACTTTGGGATCAGACAGCTAATAGGTAGCGCGCGCCTGTCAGTAAAAACGTATTCTGTGTATAAGGCTTGCATACTTTATATTTATCGACCCACAACGAGTTTGTGCATGCTCGGGTATCGCAACTGAAGCGCTACGGAAATGAACAGATAGTGATGACGACTTAATTTAGTCGAAGAAAACTTCCGGCCCCAAAGAAAACACACTCATCTAAGAAACCGTATCATTGGATACCGGCACGAGACTTTACTTTGAAATGATCCAGTATGTGGACCTCCTTTTCCTTGGCCGTTCGGTACTGGTTAAGACCCAGCAGCTGGCTGAAGATCCCGTTGAGCGCATACCCACTGCTGCCGCTTAGCTGCAAACTCATCGTCACATAAGACACCTGAAAGAGTACATCACAAGGCTTCAATGTGATCCGGTGACAAACCCTGATTTCACGTGATCAGCAAACAGGTTCGCATTCAAAGCGTGCCGCGTGGCATTCCTACAAAAGAAAACTGCAGAAACAATTACATTTTCGTCTTCGCAACACATCACTAACCGCTTAGGAGAGATTCTTCAATAAGTAACAGAAGAGACATTCGTCACAAACACATGGTACCATTTTGTGTGAAAAAGTGGAAACTACAGCCATAAGGGCCAGGCCAGGCGTGATTTCAGTGATGTTTCAGCTTCAGTTCTGCCCATACTTAGAAAGGCCACTTAAAATTATTTTTAGGATATGCTAGCGAGTTCCAGAACACCAGCTCTACTGGCTTAGAATGTGGATGTAAGAGGCACTGGCAGACCCCGCACAACAACAGGGTTAAGGAAAATCGCAGTGCACACCACAGAGGTACTGCAACTTTGGAAACAAAACACGGTAAGACATATGTGAGACCAAAGCCGGCCTCTTCAGATGCAGTGGGATCACACGCCAGGACGGGTCTGTATAGGACTTGGAGCACAGCTCTCGGCCCTGTCGGGCGTCTCTCTTACGTTCCTCCCGGGCACCTTATGTAAGTCAGCGATCCCACCAATTCATCCAGGCAAACATGACGCCATCATTTTCTCCATCGCAAGATACCCGTCGATCTGGGGGCTTTGTTGCTCTCATATCCCTTGCCAGTCTCCATTCCTGAATGCCAAGTTCCAACCGAACACGTGAGCCTACGGAAAGAGCTCCACTACTCATCAGGGTAGTGGAGCCCAGCCGACGGCGAACCCAACTCACGAGGCAGCCGTTCTTCTTGGCCATGGAGACGAGCGCGTCGATGAGGCGACTCTTGCCGATACCGGACTCTCCCTCGAACACGATCAGGCGCACGCCGGACCCCTGGCGAGGCACACAGCCGTCAGTGGTCCGCGCACCAGGGGAACAGCCAGGATTTTCTGAGGGGGGGGGGGGGGCTCGATAAGGATACATCACGCTGGTTTTTCGTTCGGTCGGGAGCGGTGCATGGTGAAAATAAAAAGTTTCAGCTTAAGGGGGCCTTCGGCCTCCTCCCCTTGGCTGCACTGCTGAAGCGTACCACTGACTGCAGCGGAAGTGGGCAATTGCGGCTCGCTGCACCCAGTGGAAGAAGAGAATGCTGATTCACTTTCCGCAGCACGGGAAAAAAGGATCGCAGAACAAAGACCTCTGCATAAACGGAGGACAGTACACCACTGGCCTCAGAAAGAGCGGCGGGGTGTAATGGGCTGTTGCCTGTTACTATCACTAGAAACATAGCGGTATAATAGTCGACGGGGTAAAAGAAAACTATGATGGGATATGCAGATGTTTTCGTCGAGTCAAAGTACCAAGCTGGTACCTCAGACTGGCCTGCTGATTCGCTCTTTAAGTCGACTAATGTAAGCGTTTTGCCGTAGCCGTTGATGTGATACAGCGATGACATACCTTTATGTCTTTGATCTTCTCCATAAAGTCCTTTATTTCAGTTTTCCTTCCCAGCAATGGGTACTTGTACTGCGGCAGCTTCTGGCCAAGCTCACTGCAAGTAGAACGCTGTTACTAATTGTTTTGTCACCAAAACAGACCCTCACGGGACTCGTACGTTCTAGGTTGAAATTGTCTATCTGTCTTTTTGTGCGAGATCACAACCTTTGTGCTTCTGAAAAAGATCGCCAGCAGAATCGCCGCCACCACCGCCGCGAAAGCGTTGGTGGCTGTAGACCGATCTGTTCTAATATATACAACCACATGGTGAAGAGTCCGCCGCACAAGTGATAAATCAGTGGATTTCAGCCCATGCCGTACCCGAACGAACAGGACGGTGCAAAGGAAAAGTGGCGTATGCGTGGTTGACGCAGCTGCCTGACAAGTCAATGTATTATGGCTCACCCGTCGTTTGCTACAAACTGGTAGATATTGCCGGGATTGGGAATTCCTTTCAACGGCTTGTATTCCAGTTTCTGGAACTGTTGTATAGGTAGATGGGAGTGATAGTAGCTTTCCTGAAGAAAGTGGATGCATGTTGATGTCGACAGTCCATTCACGAGCCAGCACAACTACGATGAAAGACAGAGGCAAAGGAAAAACACGTACTTTGTACGTACCTATGCACACATAAAACGCTGGCCTTCTTCATGGGGCCTTCAACTGGTGGCAACCACTAAACGCATTTAAAAAAAAAAACGAAATGCTTCAACTGGCTGTCGACCTCACTACTCATCAGACTATAGACGCAGCATGTAACGATACATTTCCACATATATTAAAAAGCATTTGGGCAATTATTAAATGCATTATATGTATTGGCAATTTCATATGGCGGTATATGTGACACTGCGTTATAACATCACAATTCCATGCTTTGTCTTTATCATTTGGTTGGCTTTGCCCCTTCATTTGTGTAATTTATTGATATTAACGGCATACTGAATCGTACTAAATCTGGCGGTTTGGAACTCGGCCGTGTAGCCTCCAAAACATACCCGTTCGACGTGAGGAACGCAAATGTCATTTTACATTGAAAATTAGGGAACAAATTGCTAGGGATATGCATAAGTTTGGGTGATTGCATAAATACATTGCATACTCTAGAGCCCTATGAAAGAACATTGACATCAGTAGTTCTCGTAATATGAAAATATTGATAGCAGTGCATCGTCACAACAGTCGAAGTCAGCACGACCATAAGAAGCATGAAATATCAAGACATCTGACCCACTGTCGCAAAAAGATGTTTATGCAGCTTAAGCAAGCTCAAGAAAATGATCCAATCTGCATCACTGAAAGACATGAATGCAGCATGAGCTGCTCACCTCGTCGCAGGAGACGACGCCCGGGTAGTTGGTCATGAGCCGAGCCGCCTTGTTCACGGTCCGACCAATCACCGTGTACTCGTGTCTCGCAGGGTGACCAATCACGCCGCAGAAGGTGGGCCCTGCCGCCAGGACGACCGCGCTCTTTGTCTCAGAATGCCGAAAAGCAGCATGTTTGAGGGATGTTCATGGGTTGTTGGTGCTCAACCCATATGCGCCGCTTACCAAAACCGTTGGAGAAGCACGTCGCCTTTTCGGAGAACTTCTTTCCGCACGGTGCTCATAGAACACCATGCTGCATTTTGGATTTTTAGCATGTGGAGGTCTTGGAGACCACGGTTTGATCTGAGGACATTCAGTCTACTTTAGCTCGCACGCCACAAGCGCGGCCACACCTAGCATTGTTTGTGCTCACCTGTCGTCACACCTATGGAGACCCTGGCGATGCCATTGACCTTGAGCAGCTCCACCGATATGGCATCGGCGCACTGCAGGGCATGCGCCACCTCATTCTTGTGCTTGAAGCCTGGTAGTCCGAAGATGACCAGGAAGGTGATGCCCTTGTCGAAGGCGAACACTTTGTTGAGACATCCGCTGACCGCAGTTATTTTTCTGTCGGTACATCGAGATTACTGATAATGGGAGAGGCGTACAGCGTGGCTGGTGTGTGCCTTTTACTCTTCACTCTCTGCTGGGGAATAATTCTGCATCACGGGTGTAAGAGACACACAGACGTGTTCCATCACCCACCGGGTAGTAATTTCCTTATATTCGCCTTTGCCAAAGGAGTGCCCGTCTTCATTTCCCCAGGGTCGCGAAACACCTCCACGAGTACTCCGTGGGAGGGCTGACCCGTTTCATTTACCATCCACTAGATGGTGGCAACCACCGCGATCCACCAGCCACCGGTTGGTAAAACCCTTCGCATTTACCATCGCCCCGAGGATTGCCCCCTTCATGGCCCTCCATGGACGAGAGCCGCCTTTGATGTTGCCCTCTCAGTGAGCGTCGACCTTGGCCTTTCACTGTTCACCCCAGGGGAGCCACCGCGGCCGACGTTTTTCTAGGTTGTAAGCCCACATGGCTACTTGCGGGGTAGTTACGCCTTTTTATTTGTCATCACTGGCAAAGAAGAACAGTGCGGACACAAAAATACCGGCGGCGAACAGCGCTACACCTATCAGTGAGATGATTATTTCACCACATGTGACCAGAGCCCGCATCCAACACAAACCGAGCAAAAGCATCGTGCCACTTAGGACACTTAATCTTAGGGCAAAAGCGCGGAATATCCGCAGCATACTGGAGCAGGCCTGGTGTAGCACGCACATGACGCGGGACTTCGATGCGCCGGCCACGACAGGCGGCCCTCTCTCTAGCCGATGGTGCGGCGGCGACGGTGACGGCACGCAGGGGAGTTGGCCTGCCCACTGCTCAGAGCCAGCAGCCGCTGCGGCCTCCGATATTGTGTCTGGCTTTCCAGGCTACGCCGCAGCGGTGACCAGCCGTGTGGAACATCCCACCACATGTTCCACAGCGTGGCCGTCCAGCGCCTCATGCGCGTTTGTTCGGAGAACTGGTGCTGCGTCGTGGAAGCATTCGTCTTACACTTACGCAGCTGCCAGTTATGCATCGCGCTTCCGTTACGGCATACCAACGTGATACGCATGCACGACCAGCTTCTCCAAGCCAGCACGACTCAGTGGCGACGGCTCTACGACGAGTATGGCCGGCCGTGAAGGACGGTGTCTAGAACAACTGTTAAGTCATCAGATATGGAACAACTTTCACCTCAAGGATATCCAGCGAATGGTATCCAGCATATCCTGTCCATCCTTCCGATCGTGACATTTAATTTAACGACAGGGTTTTGTGGCCAAAGCTTAATGTGTCACAATGTTCGGTGCGGTCCGCACCACCCTCTGACATTCCAGAAATTGAGCGGTCGCTGTTTTGGGCCACAGGCCATCCCAGTCAGGGGCAGTGGCGTAGTAGGGGGAGGGGGCTCTTAAATCCATGCACCTCCCCCATGTCCCTTGGAGGTGGTCGGAGCCCACTGGGATCAAACGGCGCAGTACTTTGTGCCAGTCAAAACATGAAAAATACATCCTTTGGGGCATCAAAATGGGATGCAAAATCTACAAATTTACATCAAATAAGCAACAGGGCAACAGCAACTGTGACAGCGTGGGGGCCGCTTGGCTGAAGTGGTCTCAATGTTCTGATTTGACCCTCTCCTAACCAGAGTCCTGGCAACGCCACTGGTCAGAGGCAAATGGCAAGCGCACATAAACGCGGCGAAGGGAACAACTTCTTTCCCCCACCTTGGGCAGCAGTTTCTTTTTACACTGAACATGGCTCCGGAAGGAAAGATAAAACTGTGATGAGTTCGCATTGGACAGCGCCTTCTCCCCATATAGGCTTCCTGGCTACGCCTTAGCGTATGACATGCGCGGTGACTAGAACGTGCGCGTGGGGGCCGACATTAGTACATTAATGGAGCTCTACATCATGAATGCATGCCAAAACGACATGAACTACATACCACTGTATGAACTACATACCACTGTATGTAGTTCATGTCGTTTTGGCATGCATTCATGATGTAGAGCTCCATTAATGTACTAATGTCGGCCCCCACGCGCACGTTCTAGTCACCGCGCATGTCATACGCTAAGGCGTAGCCAGGAAGCCTATATGGGGAGAAGGCGCTGTCCAATGCGAACTCATCACAGTTTTATCTTTCCTCAGAATAAAACAAGGAAGACATGTTTAGTTTTGTGTCGCAGCGAGTCGTAGTCTCGTGCATTTCAACATGGGTACCCAAAACAATTAGAAAATGCACCTATGATCTGGCCTAGTGGGGCAATAATTGACCTAGCTACGCAACACTTTAACCAAATGCGATATCTTGTAGAGACCGCTCCGTTATTCTTTGCGAGGCTCTCAAGGTTAGAACCGACAGGTAGGAGGACCGGTCACTTGGCCCCAATTCAGCCTTGATTTTGAAAAAGGCCAATCGATGTAGCGTTGATAAACCTCTTAATAGCGTTGATGTTTTGATAGGTCCCTGCGCACTGTCAGACTTACCCCGCATTAACTTTCATAAGGGCGGAGGTTTTACGTTACAGATCAGTGGCCGACGGCCCTCCCTTCTCCACACGGTGCTGTGACGGTCGGGCAGCTGACGTCAATGTTGAAGTCAGCTTCACTGAACAGGCTCGTCTGACCTCACGCGCCACATCACGCGGTATGACGAGACCTTTGTGGCAGATGTCATTGCGCGCCAATGTGTCAACCACGCGTAATGGCAATTCTGAAGGGCGGGACGAAAATGTCAGGTCGCTCACAGCATGCCAGCCCCGAGCGGACTTGCGCAAGAGCAGAAGCAGGCAAAGTCCTGAGAAGCCAGACGTCTGCATTCTGAAGGCTTCCTTCTTGATGTTGCACCGCTCATAACTGTTGCAAAGAATGCGGTGAAACGGGAAGTCTCCTTCGACAATGACGCTCTATGGTCACATCGCGCTTGCCTCGCCCCTGCTGACTGTCACGAGAGCAGTGTAGCCTGCCTTTGTTGAGAGTGCCGCGAGGAACCACTGCAAACATGAGGCCCGCCATGCTTGGAGCGGCCTTGTTGTGTACGCTGCTGGCAGCAGCATGGGCCACGCCGGTAATAAATGGTAGGTACGAGCGTGCCTGGAACAGTTCCAGATCAGCAGGCTCCAGCTTTGTTTCACTATGACCTGTCGATCAGTGCACCGAGCCGTCTGACAGTCTCAGTCAGGCATGTTACGTTGTTGGCGGGTGAGTAGCCGGTGGCAAGTTATCCAGTGACGCACATGGCCAGATTCAAGATGCTACATCTCAGCAGCTGGCCGCCGTCCTACATGGGGGGTGACTCAGAGTTCACAGAGTTTTTCCAGGAAAAACAGACCTTGGCAGGTCATTATCATCGATGCTTTGTGTCAAATGGGAATAACGGTGACATTCTGCACAAAAGTGACCTATGACGTTTATTTCTCGCAGAGGATGCACTCCATGGAGGTTTTCTAGGCTTCGTTTGGTAGCTGTATGATTTTGGAGGGCATAACTATTGTTCTAACTAGTTTTTCGTAGTCAGATCACCCCAAGATCAAGTCAGGTAAAGCTTTGACTTTTGCGACCAGATCTGATGTTATGATGATGATAAGATTTAAACATCAGCGGTGCATATGTTCTTAGGCTTTGGAAGTTCTTTCGAACGCTGTTTTCCCCTTGTATGCGGGCAGTTTTGTTCTTGATATAGCCGGTCAGGTCGATGCAGCGGTTGCTCTCACCCTTTTGGCCTGACAAGACATAACAGTTCATATCTGTCGATTTCCATCGGTGCCCTCCTTATCGAAATGTCCAAAAACTCTTGAACTTCATTTTATACGAAGCTGGAAACACTCGTGCAGGGCGAGGGCTAGTGAAATAAAATGTCATGCATCTCAAGGTGTCGCACAATTTGGGAACTCCATCAAACGCATTCCAAAAGACGATAGAATGGACACATCAGTCAGGATCTGATAGCCAAATATAGCTTGCACATTGCCTTTGTTTTACAGACTATTGCGCACTTTTTGGTGTTTTGGTGTTCTTGACGTGTATATTCAAAAGTTTGTGCATAATGCTCATGTGGCCATCGGACATTGGCTTGGACAAGACTTGAGTGGGTGCTTTGTCCTGTTTTCTGTCTCAGATTCGAGTCGACAAGCGGGCGTATGGTGCTGTGGCTCCCCTGCGAGGCGCCAAGACAAGCCGTGTCTACCGTGTGTAGCACCCACACAAACACGGCCTACAGCCGGCTGTCAGAAGGTGTGCGGGCGCGGTGCCATCTGCCTCCCGCCACTAGTGAGGCGGGACTGCCATCTCCCATGTCCAGGGAACATGCACCAATGCTTCCAAGTGGCCACTGCGCCTGCTGTCTCATGAGGAACACCAAGAATCTGTGCTCTCGCGACAGAAGCTGTGCAGGAGCCCGCGTATGTCGTGACCGAGCGCGGGCCCATCCGCTTCCTGCCTATGCCTTTAGACCCGAGCCGTTCTACCTCCAATATTATCGTTACTTCCCAAGAGTGACTGTGGTTCAGAGAGCATGCCACACATGCTAGCTGAGGTCATACCGCTTGAATCGCCGACGGCATCTTCAGCAGCGTTGAATTTAACATTAGGGCAATCACTAAACTTCGACTGAATTGTAACCTAAAGTTTGGAGTTCATGCCTTCAGCGCCCTAATTCGCATTCGAGTTAAAAGCTCAGTTTTAACTCGCGGACGGAAAGTGTGTCAATTTGGCCCCCCGAAGGTTTTCCAAAATGATTTCGGAACGGCGCTGCGTAGCCACGCCAAACCTTGCATAGATGTAGGCGTTTAAATGGTGGACCATTTGGGACAGCAAATTTATATGTATGATGTAAGATCACAGCGCTGTGACAGGTCAAAGATGTATGTTGTGAGATCACAGCGCTATGACAGGTCCAAGATGTATGTTGTAAGATCACAGCGCTATGACAGGTCAAAGTTAGGCCGCGGCTAACAATTAGGGTCATTTTAGGAAATCGTTGAATCTAATGCGACAGGGGAGTGCTAAAC